ACACTGGTTATATTGATTGAACTAGTTAAGAAATGAGGAATGCTATACTAATTAATCGTCTAATTAGTGCCTTTCGACACCTCATTCACTTTGGCAAATCTCACAAATCGTTTGTAAGATATAAAGGATTATTTTGATACAGGTCTCTAGGGTGCTCGCAAAAATGTAAGAACTCTCTCTTTCTAGAGGCTTTTATTTTGAAAATATTCTAGACTATAAAAGAAGATAATGTAATGATACTTTCCTGAAAAAAGCAAGGAAATTGACACATGCCTTCATACTTAATTTTGTACCAGAAAATAACATGTGCAGGTATAGCCTAGCAATTTTTTACCAAAATGTTATTTTCCAGCTGTACCTTAAGCTACATGTTTTGTATGTAAAGAATTATGATCCTCTACAGGGTTCTCCCCTTCACTGAATTACCCGATTGAGCATAAGGGCGTATTTGGTAAATAGTGGTAAATAAGGGCGTATTTGGAAAATAGTGGTAAATAAGGGCGTAATTGGAAAATAGTGGTAAATGGGTATCTCAAGAACAACCAATTGAGAAAGGGACACTTATCCTTGGGGGTCATAATATATTGCACATTTAATGTACATGTTCAATGTTGCCGTCCCCAGGACAGCTACACCATATGATCAACAACTATATTTGCATCCATGTTGTAGGTTGTTGGATGTGACACATAATAAATATAATTTTAGAAGATAACTTTGAGTTATGTTTCGTGTACTAGACGTACACTTCAATACGTCCATCTCATTCGCAGTTCGTTCAGATCACACCATGTCAGTGTGTACACATATTGCAATTGATATCCATTATGTTTTCGTAATAGATAGTAGGCAACAGGTGGAGTAGACACTTTGTCAGAGAGGAAATATACCCATGTACCATCTGTATAATCTCTCATAACCAACCGGCATAATTTGTCATATCACCACAAATGAATTATAACATCCACACAAGAGGGGGAATATCCCAGAATTTTTGGATAGAGGGTCATCTTAAAGAGATCTATGAATTCTGGGTTATTTCCTCATCTTATCCACAAATAAAATAGCTAGGCATTCTATATCACTTCCTGTCCAATCAAAACAAAGTGTGGCCATGATATATTATACCCTCTTCTCCTTAAAGAAAATCAATATTACAGTTACACCTTCACAACTTTATTCCCACCTTATTTCCAGGAAGAAGAAAACCAAACAGGATGAGTTGGCCTACTTTGAGCTAACCTCTGCTCAAAATTATATACGTATCAATTTCGAGTAACCTTAGTCGTCTTGTGGTCTCGGAAACTCCAAAAGGACAAATCCTAAATAGATTATGATGCACTTGAATTTGCTGTTTTTCTAGTTTATTGTGTCCCAGTTTGTCCCGTTTACCCTATATCCATCCCAGCTTAAACCCTCTTTTCATCTTTTTTCTTGCTAGGCTCTAGTGTGCCTTTACCGCTCTTGTGGGGATTACACTTGTTAGTATCTTTGACACATTCTCTCAAAATTGTGCATGGTAAGATTTGATTTCAATATTTTCAATTCTAATTGGAATTAAACACTGCAATGGAAATGAAGCTTATGGATAATCAGGCCAGCTTTTGCCAAGGGGGGTTTCACTTTGCAAAAAAATCCAGTTTGGGGTTACTTTGAAAAATCACATGAAAAATGCTCAGAATGGTGTAAAACTGCATGATTTTGAAAGAATTTTTGGTTGCCCCCCCCCCCCCCCCCCCTAGGCCTGATAATGAATAATGAATTGACAAAATGAACTAAAGGATATTAGAACTAAGGGATAAAACATGAGAAATTTCTGGTCTGGGGTAAATATGGCTACGTAATCGTCATTTTAGGGAATAATAAAACAAATATTTCATTCTATTTATGATAAAACTCATTTCACATGGAGCTGTTTAACTTGCTTTCAAGCTTGTGGAATATTACATGTGAATAATGTGTGTAACTGTAAGCAAAACACATTTAACACAATGTTATATAGATGTATATGAGTTCATATATTTCCACAATATAAAATTTCATACTGTATTTTAATTCATTTCTACTGTACTTACAATTATGTAAAAGTAACATTCAAATGTATTTCATTAAAAAAAATAAAACAGCAAAGATGCTAAATCAATTATCTGTTCTTACGTCTACAGTACAGTCTGCATTACCTGAACAGAAATGGAACCGGACAAACGTGTTCAGAATGACAGGTGTTTGCATTTCTAGTTTTTAACATGGAAGCGTTTGATAGATTAATGCAAGGCATTAACATGCAAAATGTCACCAACATTTGGTTCAGATGTCAACCGCCGATTGCAAACCCTCATAAAAACGGAGTCCATAACAACATGTCACCACTTTTTGGAGGTGACATAAAAATGGGACTGGACAAAAGTGTTCATACTGAGAGGTGTTCAAACCAGAACTACGGCAACGCCAGAGCGTAGCGAATCGTTAAATTGAGGCCATTTTTCAAAATGGCCACCTTCTACCAAAAGTGTCATGAGACAGTGTGCCATGCTTATAGTATTCACATACCAAATATGAACAAAATCGCTCCACTACTTTTCGAGTTATAGTAAAATATGTTAAAATGGCCGCCTTCTACCAAAAGTGTCAATAGACAGTGTGCCGTGCTTATAGTGTTCACATACCAAATATGAACAAAATCGCTCCACTACTTTTCGAGTTACAGCAAAAATCATAAAATAACGAGTAAAGGCCGCCATTTTTCAAGATGGCTGCCATGTGCTTCTTTAATATCTACATTTCTAGCTTTATTAATGTCCTACATAATTTGTTTTACATTTGAAACATTGCTATTACAGTTTTACTAATAGCACCTAAATTACTGTAAAATCGGCACTAAAATGGCCGCCATTTTTTAATGAGCGGCCATTTTGAAAATCAGCTTTTGAGCAGAACTTCTACCCCCTTAGGGTATATGTGTACAAAATATGAACAAAATGGGGCCAACGGTATTTGAGTTATTGCCCGGACGGACAGACGTACGGACGGACGGAGGCGTTCCCTATATCCCTCCGAACTTCGTTCGATGGGATAACTAAAGAGGTGTTTTGATAAACATGTAATTCAATAAATACTGATACAAAAGCAGTTATATTAATAAAACACAAATTTAAAAAGAAAAAATATTCCTTAATTTGATTCAATTTGTTTCAACTAAGAACTTGGAAAAAATAAATCAGTTGTTTGCAACCAATTGTGTTGAATAATTAATACAAGGCATTGACATGCAAAATGTGACCAGTGTAATTTGCTACAGATGCCAAACGCCGCCAAATGCCAAGCGATGAACACTTACAACAAAAAAGTTGGAGACCATAACAATATGTCACCACTTAAATTGTTTGTCTTTTTTAGAACTGATTGACAGATATTTCTAGTTAAATATACTCCTCAAAAAAGTTAAGGACCTCATAGGTTTACATGTTAACCCCCATATTTGTTTAACGACTGTTTTCTAAGCGGGGAACAAAAGAAATCCCAATAAAGTAAATAAATCTGTATCTTGATTCTATTCGCTATAAAGTCCGCAACGTTTCAATGTTATATCTCCATTACATTCTGTCAAAATTTGATGTCAAAATTGATGAATTTCATGAAATGTAACAAAAATGGCAGATCCCATGTTAAACAAATGGGGAATGGTGGCTTAGGGGCAACTCAGATTTTGGAATATCTATTCAGCAAAACATTTATTAAAAATACTTTATAAGTAGAAAATTGAATGATTTTACATTTTACATGCTAAATGTCTCGCTTATGTTGTTAAAATTAGCGATACGGGGCGTTAAAGTAATTTTGACCACCTCACTGAACCACCTGTGTTATTTCAATAAGAGGTTCATTAAAAAATTATTGAATTTGAAACCATTAACTTTTGTAAAGCCTGGACAATTAAATCATATTTTTGTCGAGTAGACAATTTAGCAAATTTAATTATCTCTTACAATCTCAATTCTGAGAGCAATCGGATGGATGGATCGTTCCTCATATGACTTATGGCAACCCAACCATTCCCCATTTGTTTAACATGGGATCTGCCATTTTTGTTAAATTTCATGAAATTCATCAATTTTGACATCAAATTTTGACCCAATGTAATGGAGATATAACATTGAAACGTTGTGGACTTTATAGTGAATAGAATCAATATACAGATTTATTTTCTTTATTGGGATTTCTTTTGTTCCCCGCTTAGAAAACAGTCGTTAAACAAATATGGGGGTTAACATGTAAACCTATGAGGTCCTTAACTTTTTTTGAGGAGTATAGTTCATTCATGCAATGATGCCATCGAGAAATGTGGTACTTTTAAGAGTATCAAAATGGCTGTAGCAGAGTAGCAAAGACTTAGAAATACAACAAATAGGTGAGGTATTAAAAGGCCAAAGGAAACTAAAAAACGGCAACTCCACATAGCAAATCCCAACAAACACTATATAAATCATGAATCTGTACAGTCACAATGTAATATTTACTCTTCTCTTCAATAAATATTTGAGACCATTGTAGTGTCATTTTACCATACTTTCAAGATAACTCTAAGTAATGGCGAATTCCTGCTCTAGGCAGCCATTTTGAATTTTCTGAGGCACAAATCAGAAAAACAATACCATAATTGTGATCTACTCTGAAACTCCTTCAATTTGAGTATAATATAGCCATACTTTAAGAGATCAAAAAATAATTGCGAAATCCCACATTAGGCGGTCATTTTGAATTTTACGAGGCCCGGATCAGAAAAACGATACAATATTTGAAATCTACTCTCTTAATTGCCTTTCATTTGAGTATAATAAAGCTATACTTTAAAAACATCTCAAAATTAATGCAAATTCCTGTTTTTCGAACCCCCCATTCAAGGCACCTTGGGGTCAGGGTGAAAGACACGGTGTATATGTGAAATAGATAGATCTTGTGAATATACTACCAAAATTTCAAATAATAATATTTATTATTTTTAAGATTTTTACAAAAATTCCCGCCATTTTTAAACCGGCGGCCATCTTGAAAATGTTTTTCACCAATATACATCTTTCCACCAAATATGAAGAAAATCTGTCAACTAGTATTCAAGTTATCTTCCGGACAGATGAAAGGACGGACTGACTGACTGACGGACAGACGGATGGACAGCTTCACTATATCCCTACTGAACTTCGTTTGTTGGGATAATAAATCCTTCCATTGGACTTATTTCCACTCTATTATTCAGAAAATAGTCTCATGATTCAAGCCTGGCTACACCCCTATCCTTTGAACACTAGCAAGGTGGAAAGTGTAGAAATGGAACAAGGCATTCACATGCAAAATGTCATCACCTACCATTTGTTACACACATCCCCTTCTGGTGGTGACATAAAAAAGAATGCTACTGCTGTCATGATGAACAGTCTTAAGTATCTATGAAAATCCATCCAATGAAAATCACATTTTGAGAATTTTTAAGACAAAAAATTGTCAATGCCTAAAAATGGTTTCTGAATTACATTTTGCAATACTGTACAACTAATCTTCTATATAAGAATTTTGTCATGTGCCTCTACTTTAATGTTCAACTGTCTCATTTTCTTTACTTTCCTCTCTGTGTACATCAGTATCTAAGATGGGCTTCTTCATCCCAACTTTACCATCAGCAACATCAGCTTTATTCTCAAGTTGATTTGTGATTTCTAGTTTGTCTTTAATAGCACCTGGTTTCATAGGCCTCTCCTCATTTTCATCTACTGAGTCTGAATAAGCTTCAATGTTAGACTTTGCAGTTACATGTTTAGATTTGCTATGTGCTGAGAGATCCAAAGGTTGTGACATGTCACTATCTTCCATTGATTCTAGACTGTTATCCTGATCAGTAACATCTTTGTTGTCCTTTTCATCGTGTTTCTCAGAGTCATATTCACCATTTATATGATTATCTTTAATATTTTTGGATTGGATTTCTGATTCATTTGTTTCAATGTTTGGTTTAGTATCATGATCAGTGTTTTCATTTGAAAGTGATTTTGTGGAGTTTTGCTGTTTTTCTGACTGCTCCAATATATCAGTCTTTAGGTCTACTGCACTAAGCTCACTATGTTTATCAGATCTATCAGTGTCATGTGTATTTGACTCAGCTTCTCTATCGATTTCCTTAATGTCCTTATTACCTGATGACTTCATTATACAAGATACATTTTCTTCAGATTTGCCCCTTTTAGTGCAATTTTCCTGAATGTTTTGAGATTCTAATTTGACAGTATCTGAAATCTCACTTTCTGGTTTTACATCTTTGACAACTGATACTTTAGTTTCATGTCCATCAGTTTCATTCTGTGGAGTTTCAACTTTGTTGGTGATGTTTTTAATATTAGGGTCTTTATTCAAGGTTTCACCTTGAGGGGCTTCAGTAATTGATTTCCTGCTTGCTGTAAAAGCTGCTTGTTTTCTAGCTATTTCTTTCTTCATAGCAGGAGTTATTATCCGAGGTCTAGGTGCACTAGTCATTTTGATGTAAGTCTTAGATGTTTTTGATTTGATTTTCTCTATAGTGTTTTCAACCAGTGTCCTTTTTGATTTGTTATTTGGTAAGTGTAGTCCTTTAGTCATATCTATGATGCATGAAGGTGCATCTTGCTGAACAGACTGATTCCCATTCAATGATATTCCCTGTTTTGGTGGTGTAGATTGTTTTAAATCTTCAATACCTGTAGCTACCATGCTTTTAATTTCTTGTGTTGTTGCCAAACTTAGATTATTTTTCATTGTCAAATTCAGCCTTTTTGTAACAGGACCCATATTTCCTTTGGGACTGATTTTCTTTTTGTTATGGAGTGAGCACCGTGTGTTTTTCCATCTTGGTCTTTTCCGGATAAAGTTTGGATCCTTTTCGACACTGGATTTCTGAACTGGTGGTACAACATTCGTGACTAGAATCTCACCTTCGCTGTCATTGTGTGCATGAGACTGAAGTTTTGGTTTTCCTTTCAATGGACTTGGTGTTTTATTGTCATTAGAGGAGTCAGAGCTTGTGAGGTCACAGGCGGCACAATGCCACGCATAGCCATGTTGTTTGGGGGTGCGCCTAGATGGTGGGTCCAGACATTGAAAGTGGTAATACTTGCGGCATTCGTCACACCTGAAATATGATGGGAATAGTAAATTGCTGCCAATTACCCTAAATTCCATTCAGTTACCCACACTATTCTCTGACTGATACAGATGGTTTTACAGTTTACATTTTACAGTCAGGTTTACAGGATGGAAAAAATTAGCTTCAATGGCCTTTTAACGGGAGTTATGATTTTGAACTGAATGATAGCTAATTATTCTATATTCTTTATGAATACAGGCAAAATATCAAATAATATTTCTAATTCAAAGAGTCAAGTCTCATGTTAAGGGTAGCTGTCAATTGGTGTAACTGGTCAATGGTAGAAATGAATTCAAAGAGGTCACAGGCTAACATAACTATCAGATATTTCATTCTTCATCTTCAACATCTCATACATTTCTATACAATAAACTATAAATGTGTATCATTAGACTATGCATAAGCTTTGAAAATATAAGTTTTCAACTTACTTGACACATGTTTTAGTTGTGCCAGGCATAGCACATGTGACACAAGTCACTTCTACTGGACCTCTTTGGACTTTAGGCTTCACAACCTTGGGCCTTGGAACTGGCCTGGAAAGTTCCTCTACCTTGGGTCTCTGGGCAGCCTCAGGTGGCCTATGGTAATCCTCAAATACCTTAGACCTAGAGGCAGGGGGCTGTTTGTAATGGTCCTCTAATACAAGAGCATTGCTCAGCTCTGTGGTTATGACAACAGGCTGAAATATTAATAAAAATAGCAAATTTTTACATTACATATTACACAGTGTCTTATTTCTTGTTTACTGAGCAAATGCCAACTACATATTGATGTGGTACTGGCAATCTAATTTATAATATTTGGATAATGCAGATATCACAGTGATCAAAAAGTGACAAAATTTTGATCACCCTACGAGCGCTGATCATGATCGCACTTGACGAAATGATGCCTCCAGGTGCAGTATATCTATCTAATAAAAATAGTACCGTGGGTACTGGGGTCACATGGTGTTGCTCAAAAGTGAATGATGGCTAAAATGACAGAAAAAACGGATATAATTTTTTGTAACAAAATTATTTCAAGCCACTTGCCACTATTTTGGACTGACTAAGAGACAGATGGACAAATCAATGTTAAGTATAAGTAAAATGGCTGAAAATAAAAAAATGGCGGCCATTTTGAAAATAGGCGAGCTTTTGAGCCAGGAGTCATAGGGGAGTTTTCTGCATTGATGTTGAACAGAAACAACTTAAAACAGGAATCCTATCGACAGAGGTTTTAAAACATGCCAGTGTTGTTGACGGAAAAGTGGATTTCGCGAGTCAGATGGACAAATCAATGTTAACTAAAATGGCTGAAAATAAAAAAAATGAATATAATTTTTCGCTGATTTTTTGTAACAAAATTATTTCATATATCTACTCTTTACATTGACATGGATTTTTACAATGTAGGACACCTGAAATTATTTGTAAAGCTAGGAAATGGGTCAAAAGTGAATTTCGTGAGACAAAAATGGCGGCCATTTTGAAAATAGGCGAGCTTTTCAACCAGGAGTCATAGGGGAGTTTTCTGTATTGATGTTGAACAGAAATAACTTTAAAACAGAAATCCTATCAACAGAGGTTTTAAAACGTGCCACTATTGTTGATGGACGGACGTAAAGACGGACGCACGGAAGACGCATGGATGGACGGACGGATGGATGGACGGACGGACGGACAGACGGACAAGTGAGTGATTGCAAAAGCTCACCATGTGAGCTAATAAACATTCAGTAATTCAGATAATTTTAAGTATTTCTATCCTGCTCTCCAAGAAAATGTGTTTTACAAAAAAATATAGATCAAGAGCGCGTGGATTTTCCATTTAAAAGCGATTCCCGGGTACTTGATCAAAATAACGTCACAATTAGATCACTGTGATGTTTTCCAAAATAAATTCCTGTAAAATAGAATGAGTCACCCGGTACATGCTTTTCATATATAACATTATATCAATGTACACATTTTTTCTTGTAATAAAGGTTACAGCTTTTCTCAATTTGTAATTTCAATGTATTATAAAATGTCCCAACGTTTTACTTACTGGTGAAAATTGAATAATGAATATACATGTCATGATATAGTAGACTATAGGGAGAAAATCAATAAACTCAAGGCCTGTGTTACACTTGCTAACTGCATATTGAATGCTCTTACTATGCTAGAATATTTTCTCTCCCTATACACCGGTAGTATCCAAAGCCCCGCTATGATTTCAAAGTCGCGAGCAAGTTCCCGCTGAAATCGCGAGGAATAAAAAAGTGATGGCTTGTCTTTTGTTTACTTGAATTGTATGATGTACAAAACGTTTTCTTTTTAATTTTCCGCAATGATTATATATATCTTTTATTGACTCTCTGATGTCATTGCAATGACATATTAGTCACTACAAACTACAATATACAAAATTAAACTAAGACTAAACTAACTACTTCATAGGAAATATACAAAGTTGTAAAATACAATTACAGCATCACAAAATGTAAAATACAAAAATGAGATAATTGTAAAATACAGATACAAAATGACAGAATTTAAAACATCAGTGTGATGTATCATTGTTACAATATTAATCCAGTTTTTTGAATGAATGATAAATGAACTTTGCTAGATGTAAAATTACATAAGAATTTTTATGAGACAAAAGCTTTTTGAAAATAAAGTTAGGACTTCCTACAAAATTAAATTGCGTAAGGGTGTCAAACAAAAGTTTTCTCTCTGTTGTATTTTTCTTACACACCATGATAAAGTGTTGTTCATCTTCTAAAATACCACACATATTACATAAACGTTCATCCAAAGGTCTTGGCTTAGGCTTCAAATGACGACCAATTTCTATATGTAATTTGTGTGAACTAAGCCTAAATCTACTTATTGCTTGTCTGTAATTTTTATTTTGTATATTTAAATAACCCTCTCTTTCAAAGACATTTTTGAATGTTATGTAAGTTCTTAAAACAGGATATTTGAAAATATCTTTCTGCCACTGAGACTTATAATTCTGATACAGTTTTTTTGTTATCATCTTGATAAAAATATAATCATCATCGATCTTTTGAGTTTCCCAATATGAGAATAAATCACATTTTTTCAAAATATCAATGATTTTGTTTGACCAAGTGCCTTTAAAACCCAGTTGGCTCATTTCACGGTCATGCGTATATGTTTTATGAAGAATGTTTCCAGGTGATAGATGAATTAAACGGAGCCAATATTTAATTAACTTAATTTCAAAACGTATTTTTAATGGGTAACGTCCTAATTCTCCATAGACTGCTGGTGTTGCTGTTGATTTTTTAACACCTAATAAACTTTTAAGAAAAGATAAATGCATTGTCTCTATTGTCTTAAGATGTTTTTCATTAATCCACACCTCTGAAGCATAAGTTAGGATAGGTTCAACTAAAGAGTCAAAAAGGTGCAATGCAAGATTAACTGGAATGTCATTAAATTTTTTATATTGCTGTTTAACTTTAAACAAAGCTTTTCTTGCCTGCTCTTTTAGATAACATACATGCTGGTCAAAATTCTTAGTTTTGCTGAATACACATCCTAGATATTTATATTGCTCAACACTTTCTATTGCACTATCATTGAATGTGAAAACTATATCAAATTTTGAGTTAAAAACAATTGATTTTGTCTTCATTGTGTTAACTATAAGATGATATCTCTTACAAAAATCAAAAAGACAATTGAGCAAAGTTTGGGCGCCATCTTTACTATTTGACATCAAAATAAGATCGTCAGCCCAAAGTAAGTGGTTTAACATATTTCCATCAAATTGAATACCATTTTCTTTTGGTAGATTATCTTTTAAATCATCATTACATGGTATTGAGACTAAAAAGGCAACTGATGGAAAAAAGTATCACGAGCGGTCACTCTGTGGTTCTTTATTTGACAATTGAAGAGAGAAAAGTGTCATCTTAAATCTTTATCTATATATTTCTATACGTTATATGTGAAGAACTACGTTGTCCTGTGATTGAAATAATGGTAGTGATTTGAAATAAAAATGTACTGAGTTTCACTTCCTAAAGCTTTACAGAACACTTTATATTTCAATTTTATCATATCTCTCAAGGCCCAGCTTCTAGCGGAGCAAAAAAAGCAAAGACCCCGCTGAAATCATGAAGAGGCACCGCTGAAAACATGAGGAGGTCCCGCTGAAAACAGGAGCAAGTGTCTCTCAAAAATGGAATGAATCCTGATTATACCGTGAAAATCTCCCACTATCGTACCCAGCTTAATCCACTATTTTACCTAGTTTCATGAATACATCATTTGTTGAATTCTCAAAAACAACAAATACTGTATTGATATAGTACATATTATGATACGTTGTAATGGAAAAATGTGATGAGAATTAGATCGGATGAAATGTTAAAAGTTTAACCTCATTTTCATAATTACGATGTGAACATAAAGGTTGTTGATTTTACGCATCAAATCTAATCAATTCAACTGTTTGAAAAGAAAGTGGAATTCCATCATATATGAGTAACAAGTCGATATTTAGTAAGATTCATGCGTAAGCTAAAACGATTAAGTCAGGAAAATGTTCAGTTATACTATTTTTGTCTCAATCTCCCGTTGCCAGCTTGGATACTCACTCACTCACTCAACCACCCACTAACCCACCCACTAACTCACTCACTTTTTCCCTCCCTTTTCAGAAATGAACGAACGCACGAACGAATGCAAAAAGTATTTACCAACAAATAACAAATGAACCCTCGCATGGACACACGCACGAACGAAGGCATGCACGAATAAATGCACACATGAATGAACGGTCAGACGAACGTACCCATGCACACACGAACGGTCGTTTGTACACACAAACCGACGGCTAGACAAACACGCGCAAAAACGACCAGACGAACGAACCCACGCATGAACGGCTGGTCGAAAGAACGCATCCACGGACGAAAGGACGTTCAGATAGACGCACTCATGAATGAATGAGCAGACGAAAACAAGCACGAGCGGACAAACGTATGCACGCACGAACGACCGGTCGAACGAATGCATGAACGAACGGCCGGTAGAACAAACGCACGCACGAGCGAACGGACGGTCGGACGAACGCACACTTGAACGAATGGATGGTCGGACGAACGCACGCACGCGCTAACGATCGGACGGACGAACGCCCGAACGGACGGTGGGACAAATAAATGCACGAATGAACGATTGAACGGGCGCTGTCACGAACGGACAGTTTGACGATCGCACGAATGGACGATTTGACTATTGCACGAATGCACGAACGAATGAACGAACAAACAGTCAGACGAACGCATGCCTGAGCGAACAAATTTCGAACGAACGCACCAACGAACGAACGGAAGGTCGAACAAAAGCACACACGAACGTAGTCGGACGAACGCACGCAAGAATGGACAGTCAGAAGAACAAACAAGCCAATGAAATATATGTGTCCTCAGAAATTCCTTGGAACATAGAATTATATAGAATTTACATTTAACTGTCCAAATGTACAAAGTCTGTTTACACATTTAAGAATTTTATTTCATGACGACACTGACAGATGGATCAAACTGCCTGAAGTTGCAGAAGAAATAGTTGCGATGTTGCCATTGATATGTTATAATGGTATTTATACGTGATTGGCACGTTCTTGTACGTTCATATAAAGAAACTCAATATCTTCATGGAATAATAATGCAACTTTCCTCGCGATCGAAGCGGGACCTCCTCACGTTTTCAGCGGGACCTCCTCATGTTTTCAGCGGGGCCACTGAAACACCTTTAATGATGTATTTCGACCCCCATGGCAGACGTAATTGCACAGTTACTTAGCAATACAGACCATATTGATCCAATATGTATTATGGTGTACAGGGTGATCCAGAAGTAACGTCAAAGATGTTGTAATTTCAAAAGTATTCATCAGATCTTCATGAAATTTGGTATACATGTACCCACAACATTTCTGAGTTACCATCTCAAAGATTGGAATTCAATCATTTCATTGGTTGAAATTATGGTTGCTATAGTAACCCGATATCGCGTAACCCGGGGCAAATTACTTAACGTGTAATGCGTAATCTCAAAATATCAACAAGATCTGAAATTGTTATATCCTCAACATTTTATTTCACAACAATATAAATCATACTATTGCACAGTTACTAATAATAGTTCATTCTACATAATTGCCACCATTTGCAACACATTTCTCATGTCTGGATACCCATTCCTTGAACACAGAATTAAATCCATTAGAACTCATTCCTTGTAGGGCTAGTACTACGGCATTTTTCAATTCCTCACAGGATTGAAAATTATTTCCACTAAGGTTTCTTTTTAGTTCCCCATACAAATAAAAGTCACTGGGGGCAAGATCAGGTGAATAAGGGGCATGTTCAAGTTGTTGAAATCCAAGTGTTTGGACTGTGTTGCTGGTCAGGATTGCAGTGTGCGTAGGGGCATTGTCCCAATGCAAGATAAACTGCTGCAGATGTCCGGGACGCTTTTTCCTCAGGGAACGTTGAAGATCACGCTTCAGAACCTGAAAAACAAATGTTTAATGGTTGTTAAACCAGTTGTTTCATTGATTGGATTTGGATTTGAATCATGGCCATGGAGTTATAATTATATTGACAGTGAACAACATTTAAATACTTTAATTTAAAAATAAAATTCACAGTATGATGTATTATTAGAACAAATGATATCTTACCTTTGCAATGTAAACGGCATTAATTCTCTGGCCAATGGGAAAAAAATGGGTTAACACCATTCCTCTAATGTCAAAGAATGTCACAACCATTTGTTTCTTTTGTGGAATTCCTGGTACTATTTTAGGCTTGGTTGGTGTTGGGGAGTTGTCATGTTTCCACGATGAACTTTGTTGCGTGGTCTCTGGGATGTAGAATGATAGCAATGATTCGTCACTCGTAATGATCTTGTTAAGAAAGTCATCTCCATCTCTCCGATATTTTGCAAGAAAGTCCCTTGAAGCCTTAACACGCCGGTCTTTCTGCTCCTGTGTCAAGTCATGCGGCACCCATTTAGCAGACACCTTCTTTAACAGACAGTTCTTTGTCAGTATCCGTTGCACAGTCCCATAGCTCAGATCGTGTTTTTCAGCCAATTCTCTGATAGAAATTTGCCTATTGTCCATAACATCAGCTTCAATTGCTTTGATGGTTTGATCATCGAATGACGACACTGGCCTGCCTCCTCGCTGCTTGTCTACCACTTCATCATATCCACTGGAATACTTGTTAAACCACCTGTAAATGTTTCTCTCAGCAATGGCAGCTTTACCATATGCCTTCTTTATCTGTCTTATAGTCTCTTTTACACCTTTCCCCAACTTTACACAGAACTTAATGTTTGTTCTTTGCTCTATTTTACTCTGACTTGGCGCCATCTTGAATTGGGTGGGTTAGTGTCCTTGGTCATGTTAGTATTTGTCATGGATGATGGAAGCAATTCAAAAATATTGAAAGCTTTTTATGAATGCCTATTGTGACATCACAACTATTACATATTTGTTACCATGGCAACAAATATAAAAATCATAGAAAACAAACAATGAACATTTTCAAATGTTACTGACTTTTTAAATTAGAGAAATTCACAAAAACGTTATGGTTTCTCTTCAATTTGCCCCGGGTTACGCAATATCGGGTTACTATAGCAACCAATATTTCAACCAATGAAATGATTGAATTCCAATCTTTGAGATGGTAACTCAGAAATGTTGTGGGTACATGTATACCAAATTTCATGAAGATCTGATGAATACTTTTGAAATTACAATGTCTTTGACGTTACTTCTGGATCACCCTGTATGTAAATGGTATTTATTGCCTTTATTTGAACGATAAAAGTAATATATGATCAGTAAATTATGCAAACGTGCATGTTGACGCCCCTCTTTTCAATGCCAGTGAAGAAGAATTATTTTTTATGTCATTGTTTGTCAAATGTATCTGTTTTTAAAGTATTGCTGGAGTATGGAAGAACAGTAATAAGTATTTTCACCCTTTTGGTCCATTTTACAAAGTGATGCAAATAAACAGGACTATGCTCGCGATTTCAGCAGGAACTTGGTCGCGACTTTGAAATCATAGCGGGGCTTTGGATACTACCCGTGCTATACCTTGACACTGTTATTCAAGCACTGTGCCAACACTTTTGCCATACCCTGATGTCAGCCAAAATAATTAAATGTATCATACTCATTACTCACCTCATAAAAGTCCTCTTCCAGCTTCTGTTTCTTCAGCTGAGGTTGTTCAGTAGGTGGTTGCACCCAAGCTTTCACTTTCTTTATAGGATTTACTGGTGATGGTTTTGTAAGTGCAGGGTGTCCAGGTAGGGGAACCCTAGACTTCGACTCAGTTGATGTAGGGACTGGCCTCTTGAAAGGTAGCTTTTTCTTGGATTTGGCTACACCAACCATTTGTGGCTTTTCTTTCTAAAAAAGAGATTATTTATATTCAATTGTTATTCTTGATGTATCATCAAATATTTAACTGACCCTATTATCCTCTAGGTCTGCCTGAGAAAGATTCTCAGTTATCACTTCAATACATAATAAACAGAACTTACATGAAATGCTACAAAATTCTGGTCTTCTAGGTGGCTGTATTTCTTTGGCTGTTTTAATTGTCCCTTCTCTCGAAGTTTCCTAGGGGCCTCTGTGTCTATCCTCTCCTCTTCAGAGTCCTCACTACTGCTCCTGGTGCACTCTGAACACTGCCTGGAGAGTAATATACAGACATTCTTTCTATTTACTCTGAGCAGTACCTAGAGAGTGGCACATGTACAAAGTCGAAAAATATATGTACTTTAACATTTGAGTTAAGTCATACTCTGGGCTATGGTCTCTATGGAATATATATATTTTCTCTTCCTCAAACATTGACCATTCAAGTCCAAGAAATATCTATTCAAAAATATACTTTAAAAATACATGTAGTTGTTACTCTAGGTTTGGAGTGGGCTAAAGCTTTATTTTTCAAATACCAGATAGTACCTTAACATACTCAATGGTAGCACATCAATATTTGTTAAATTACACAAGCTGATGCCATCAAATACACACCAGACAGATAATGCTGAAACATAGTTCATTTTTCCTAAAGGCTATCTTTTTTTCTGAAAAATAATTCCATACAGCTTCTTACCAGCCCATTAGTCTTGTTTTCTTGGGCATTCTAGTAAGTGGTGGGTCAAGGCAACCTAGATGGAAGTAGAGTCTGCAGTTGTCACACTTTGCAAGTAGGTGCTGGTCATGAGTCTTGCCACATCGTCCACATCTGCAAGACATGTCAACATATAACAACTACATGTATAAAACAAGGCATTAACATGCAAAATGTCACCACCTGTCATTTATTACAGACACTAACCGCCAGACGCCGCCTGCTGAACACCATTCTCAGAACAAGCAAATATCTAACAGGCATCACCGTTATTCTTTTATTTAACGATTTTTTAAAAGGCACAAGAAGAAACAGCAAATCCAAATAAAATAAAGGACCCAAGGTCCTGTGCTCACACAGTGTAGAACCTTCAGAGGAATGTATATCCTGATTTTTAAACAAAATTATTGATTTTGATTTGTAGTCTCGAACTTTGAGAAACTTAGATAGCACAGTTTGTGACCTAGTTTGAGGACCTTTGACCTTGAACATTTTACTTATTCAGAATGAAGCTAAATAATTCTTAAATTTCAAGGCAAAATATGCAAAATTGACCGAGTTATTCAACTTTCTTACGGTCCTGGTTTTTTTGGACACCCTGTATATCGTCAATGGCAGGTTTTGTGATTGACAAGTTTCTCAAAGTTTGTCCCTATACTTGTTCATTACTTGCAATGAATTACATCATTACTAGATTTAAGCATTCCCTACATATTGCTCAATATATGTCAGCATCAAATTTTTACTGTTTTTGAGATATTTGACGTAAAAAAAACAGTAAAAATAAGTTATTTTTCAACTTGCTTCAATTTGACCAAATTTTTGGGGGAAAATCGTCTACAAGTTGCCAGGAGTTCAAATCTGACCTTAGTTTTGAGATTTGACCTTCAGTGACCTATGAAAGGTCAAAAAAGTTGATTTTTCAAATTGATTATTTGGATGTAAATTTTGGTCACCTTAATCACAAAAGACCCTGGACACCCTGTACATGAGAAAGTTCCCTGAAAATGACTAAGTCCTACTTTTTGTCAAATTTTATAGAGTAAACACCAAAAACTGTAATTTCAAGAGCTTTCAAATCTTCAGAGAACATAAGTTGCATATACATATAAACCGGAACTTCCGGGTTTATATGAGATGTGCAGTGCACATGCGCTAATCAGTGCAAAAAGCGGAGCGCTTTGGTAGGCAGTGTGGTTCACATTGTGCTGAAAATATTATTCAACGAAGTTGAATTTGGCATTTATACGAAGATATTTATTCATATTTCAACCATTTATTTTTCTGTATCATGTTGTGGTACACATTTTCATGAGGTGGAATTTTATTACGAAGTAAATTCGTTGAAATTTCGTGTCTGAAGTTTCCATTTATACTCACCTCGTGGTTTTTTCGAATATCTTCGCAAATAATTTTCAAAAATAGAAAATGTCAAGTAAAACAGCCAAGCACTCTAAAAATCCTAAAGAAAAGGATAAGGGACCAAAAAGAAGTGTTTCCCTCGCAGAGGGAGAAGCTGGCAAACAGGTTAGTCAGCCGAAAATAGACAATATAAACGTCTTATCAAGTCAGGTCCAAAAAATTCTCCAGCCATCGGCGTCAGACTCACCCGCAGTCTCAGTTCCAGTTGAAGGTTCTTCAACTCAGGCAAGTCCAGAAATCAAATTTCGTGTGGAAATTCTAGCGGGAATTTAGTGAACAATGAAGTATTGAAAGAGATTTTAGGCTCACTGAAAGGTTTAACTAGTCGCATGGATGCCTTTGAAAGCAACCAAGGAGATTTTTACTCTCAGTACGACGAGAATGAGCCGGGTCCTGAGGATCAAACCTGGGATACTGATGATGAAAATGCGCTCGATGAGTCCAGAACAAAAAAGAGTAAGATGGACTTCAAGGAGAAAATATCTTCTTATCAAGCTAAAGAAAGTGTGTCACAGGACATCAATGAAATTTTAGCGGAACTCATTAATACTGTTTTCCGTGAGGGTTTGTCCTTTGATAAGTATGCTGAGTTAAGCGATAGTATACAAAGACCAAGTAACTGTCATAGTCTTGTAGTCACAAAAGTTAACGACCTTATATGGAATTTCCTCACCCCCCAAAATCAAACGATAGACGTTAATATGCAAGAAATTCAGAATTGCATGGTTCGTGCTGCTACGAATGTAGCTCTGATCCTGGATTTATTGAATAGTGAGCAGGATGATTCTGTCATTTCTGATGACATTAGAAAGAAATGTTCTGATTGGGGATCTGATGCCTTAGCAATTCTTGGTCATGGGAATTTTCAACTTAATATGAGACGAAAACAGCAACACAAGAATGACATTGAGTCTGAATACAAACATTTGACGTCATCTAACGTAAAGTTTACAGAGCAACTCTATGGTGATGATGTTATTGAAACCACCAAAAATATTCAGACAATGAATCGTATATGGTCAAAGTTGTCATACCAGAACAATCGTGGTAGTTCCCAACGAGGACGAGGAGGCCGTGGCCGAGGTTTTTCGTGGCAAAGGCCGAGGTTTCAATTCCCGTACAAGGTTCTCTCATCAGTTTGATGAGACACGCTACAGGAGCAATAGAGGCCGTGCTGCTCCATCCTTTAGTGGACGACGTCCTCAACAGGGGAATTGGCAGAACAATAAGTTGCAGCAAAGTCGTGGGAAATCCACAGAAAAGAAACAATGACTAGATCATGTAAGTAGTAAGGTAAAAAAGTGTGAAACTTTCAGAGCTGGTCAATTGAAACATTTTCTGGATATATGGTCTCAATATACTTCTGACCCCAATATTTTAGAGATAATATCAGGGTGTGTTTTTGAATCAATCAATCAAAGATCAATGGCCAGAACAGTTTCTTTTGCCTCCAAATACACAATTTACCGACATTGAAGAATTTGGGATAGATCAGGAAATCAAAAAACTCCTTGATAAAGGTGTAGTTGTTCAAGTAGAACCTGAACCAGGGCAGTTTGTTTCTGGAATATTTACAGTGCCCAAGAAAGATTCTGATGAATTGAGAATGATCCTGAATTTGAAAGAATTGAATGAATATATCGTTCATCACCATTTTAAAATGGATTCATTCGAAACTGTTCTAAAATTGATTTCAAAGGATTGTTTTTTGGCTTCCATTGACCCTAATCATGCCTATTATTTGATACCAGTGCATCAAAACTACCAAAAACTTCTACGTTTTATGTGGAAAGGTCAAATGCTACAATATACTTGTCTTCCAATGGGTATTACTTGTGCACCAAGGTTGTTTACAAAGTTAATGAAGCCAGTGTATGCCACTCTTAGACAAGCAGGTCATATGATTGCAGGTTATATCGATGATACGCTGTTAGTAGCAGACAGTACTCAAGAATGCCAGGATAGCATAAATGCAACAAGTCAATTCATGATTGAATTAGGTCTTATCTTGAATGTTGATAAAAGTGTACTGATTCCCTCTACTAAGATAGAATTTCTTGGCAATGTTATTGATTCCAAAGAAATGAAGGTATATTTACCTCAGAGAAAGAAGGTGCAAATAGAGACTGAATGTTCTAAATATCTCAAGAAATCTAAAGCTAAGATCAGGTATGTAGCTTCTCTTATTGGAACACTTGTATCATCATTCAGTTCTGTTGAGTTTGGTCCCCTTTATTACAGAGAACTTGAGATGGCAAAAACAGATGCATTGCAATTTAATAGAGGAAATTATGATTCTGAAATGTCTATTTCCAGAGCAATGAAGCAAGAGCTAAGTTGGTGGAGAGACGAAATTTCCACTCAATTCAGATCTCTAGATCATGGGGTGCCAGAACTGGTTCTGTACTCAGACGCTTCCCTTGAAGGATATGGTGGTATTTGTGAGACTAACCCAAGTAAGTCAATAAGCCAAAGATGGAGTGAAAATGAGCTAGGGCTTCATATAAATGTGGTTGAATTGTTAGCAGCTTTCCTTGTCTTCCTTGACAATATAGAATGGCAATTGAATGTTTCTGTATTTTGTAGATTAACAGAAATCTGGGGTGTACCTGAGGTTGATCTTTTTGCAACTAGACTCAACCATCAAGTTGAGCAGTATGTGTCCTGGAATCCTGATCCAGAAGCTATTGCAATTAATGCATTTTGTGTGTCTTGGAATAGAGGTTTAACATACATGTTTCCTCCTTTCAGTGTCATATCCAGGTGTGTTCAGAAGGTTCTGAGGGATTCTGCAGAAGCAGTAATAGTGACGCCATTGCGGCCAACACAGACTTGGTTTCCACAACTCATGAGGCTACTTATAGACAAGCCAGTGATATTACATTGCAAGGGACAAATGTTGAGTCTACCCAACTCTCAGGAAGTACACAAGTTACAAAACAATCTCATCCTGATTGCATGTCGAATATCAGGAAATCTATCTAAAAGTCAAGGTATTTCTAGAAAGTCTACCGATATCATCCTTGCATCTTGGAGATCTGGCACGCAGAAACAATATGAAATGTATATTAAAAAGTGGTTTTGCTTCTGTGTATGGGTAGTACAAAGTAATAAAAAGTTATTAATATACCCTCCCTAGTGTGGAGAAAATTTTATTTCAAAAATTAATTTGCACAATCAGCTTTTAAATACTGATTAGCGCATGCGCACTGCACATCTCATATTAACCCTTCAGTTCCTATTGTTTATTCATAGAATCTCACTCCCACTTTAACCTGCCATGCAGGTCTCGAGGAAGTGGGGAATTCTACTTCAACAAAGTGTCTAGTATTTACAGAAAATTTGACTTTTTGACGTCAAAATCAGCAATTTCTCAGAAACTGGGCGAACTTGGAAAATGCCAATGATAGGTCAAATAGGCATTATGGATATGCATAAAATGAATGTGGATATGACTCAATCCGAATAGCAGTTTTAATTTGTGCGGCCAATGTTGACAGACGGACCAACGGACGGACGGACGCCTGGTTGATCCCATAGGCTCATATCATTTTCACCCCAGTTTTGAGATGCTACATAGGGAAACATGAGTGGAGGAGTGCAACAAAGAGTGATTTATTGCAAGTTGGAGTGTATTGTCTTATACTGCACTTACTTGTGTATAACTGCAGGGGGAGACCTGGGGGTATCTTTGGTCTGAGTTGTGGTTGGGGGTCTCACAGGTTTCTTCACCTTTAGGATTTCAGGGAGAGCTAATTGCTACAATATTAAAAAAAATTAAACTAGAAAAACAGCAACTCCACGGAGTAGCAAATCCCACCGAACAAAACATGTTTTGATAAAAAAAATTGAGCCAAATTCATCCACTGGTATTTGAATTATCAAAGATTATGCCTTTATGAAACATGGTTGCCATTTTGAAATTCAGCTGTCATCTTTAGATTTCTTCTTTAGCAGAGAATGTCCGTCCAATGGTATCTGGGTTATCAAAGATTACTTTTTAAATGAAAAATGGCAGCCATTTTGAAATACAGCTATCGCCTTTGAAATTTCTTCTGAAGCAGATCTCCTTTTTCCCTAGCGCACCAAATCCATCCACCAGTATTTGAGTTATCATTAATTACGTTTTTTTACGAAAAATGGCGGCCATTTTGAAATTCAGTAGCCATCTTGAAAATTTATTTTTGAGCAGAACTTCTTTGTCTCTAGGCATCAGCATATAGAATTTGAACCAAATCTGTCAACTGGTATTTGAGTTATCAAAGGTTACGTTCTTTTATGAAAAATGGCCGCCATTTTGAAATTTAGCTGCCATCTTGAAAATCCTTTCTCGAGCAGAGCTCCTATGTCCCCTAGGCATCAGCATCTAAATGAAATCCGTCAACCGGTATTTGAGTTATTGCCCGGACACACGAACGGACGGACGAACGGACGGACGGCTTTTCTATATCCCCCTCGAACTTCGTTCGGTGGGATAATAACAGTTTTTATCCATACAATGCTTAATTCACATAAAACAACATAATTTGATAGCAACTGTTAGCAACGACACTGTGTTACACATTATGTTGTAGATTAATGCTCTGATATTTTATATATGGTTCATAAAACTAAAACAACTGCCACACCTGAGCATCTCTACTCAAAATCATGATAATCATATAAATGTAAAGAGTTATGTTACCTTTCCAGATATTGCACATAGGTGTTTATGTAACTGCTCTGCTTTGTTTCTTAGAGGAATACCAACACACTTTAGATTTTCATTTGTGTCACATAACTACAAAAGGAAATTTGTGATGGGTTACAACAGGCAGAATTACATCATGGTATTTGTGGTCATGAACTGTAATCGAGGGTTGAAAGTGGTCACAATTGAAAAAACTGGTTACTTCAATGTATAGTATGTATAATGGACTTGTAAATGCTTTACAACCATGTTGACCAATGCTCCCTGGAGTGTGGCTAACTCCATGACCATTTATGACTAAATACAATAGAAATCATGTAAAATCAAACAAAGTGCATTTTAACAAACCTTTTCATATTTCTGCCTGAGGATTTTTTCTTTCACTGTTAAGGCTCGGTTCTGAGCCAGCAACTCTTTTGAATGTTTCTTCATGTTAGCAATTCTGTTATTGCGATCTGTATAAATACACAATGACAAGCTTTTGAAAGTCATGTTGTCACATATATAATAGGATTTTATTAGTACTGATGCCCTTTTAGGGCCAAACGTTTCTGATATACAATTTTCAATAACAGTAAATATAGCAATAAAGTAAAGAAAATAGGATTGCATTCTTCAAATGACATATAAAATGTTACTTTGATATAAGAATCCTGTCTCTACCAATCATTAGGTACTTTATCATGTCAGCAGATTCTTTTAATATGATCCCCTCACTCGTCAATAGAAAAATTGTCTTCTGGTGGCCATTCATCTTTTTAAAATTACTACACAGGTTTTCAAGTTTTTCAATATGGGATTTTCTACATTTGAATAAAAAGTGTGTTTCATCTTCTGTAACCGACTCCTTACATATTTTACAAAATCGACTATTAAGATCAGTAATTGGTTTTGTATATCAGCCTCTCTCTATCTCTAGATTGTGGGCGCTTATACGGAATCTAGTTAAATGTTTAGCGTTTGAAAGTGTCGTTTCTGAAAGGTAGTGTTCAAATCCACAGTGCGATTTTAGTTGTTTAAATAATCTAAGTTTCCCCCCATTCCCACTTATCAGATTCTTCCAATATACTTGATATCTCTCTATTAATTTCTTTTTGACTTTAATAGCAAGCCTATTTGTGCTCTTCTCTATGTTTACCTTATCTTCAAGATTCAATTCATCAGACATTTTTATTTTAATATGGCACAGTATATTTTTGAGTTGTTTGTGCCATGTAAATGTGTTATTTGTTAAATCAAATGTTTTACTCATAATTAATGAATCGTTTAGTAAACTCCCATTTGAGCGCAACTCTAAATGACCGAGGTATTTGATTTGTCTTTTTATAATATCAACTACCGAAGGTATTCTTCCCAATTCTCCTCTTACTGCCATGTTTGTGGCTTTTCTATGAACCCCAAGAACATATTTTTGGAACCGAATATGATTGTTTTCAATTAAAGCACTTTCATATTTATGTTCAAATATCTCGATTAGTTAGGCAGTCACACTTGGTATATCATTACACCATATTTCCGAACCGTATAAAGCGACGGGTTTGATAAGTTGATCATACAATTTCATTTTTAGTGAAGACTTCATCTCGTTAAAAATTCACATATCACATATTAAAAATTGAAAATCTCTAAGGTACCATTTGAACCCAAAAGACCTTATCACATATTATTCTCGATAACTGGTCAACTCAACCCCAAGTCAACTCAACCCAAGTCAACTCAACCCTTAGTCAAGTCGACCCCAAGTCAAGTCGACCCTTAGTCAAGTCGACCCCAAGTCATCTCGACCCTTAGTCAACTCGACCCCAAATCATCTCAACCCTTGGTCATCTCAACCCTTAGTCAACTCGACCCCACCATAAAAAAACAAGTAGATATACTATTTTCATGGTACGATATTGATGAATTTTGAAAGAATGAGGGACTAAAATGCTAATTTTCCAAAATAAAATTATCAACGATTGAAGTTTGTGCTTAACGCATTTATAATTTTTATAAATATGACATTTATTTACCAAAATAATATTTGAACAATCTTAATAGGGCTATTCACGATGCTATACATATATTTCACCCCTTCATATTTGAGCTTGTTTTATCTCTCTGAAATGAAAAAAAAAATTATCTATACACTTTTCTGTTCTACCGAAATTGTTGCAACAGTATTTTTGACAACAGGTAACTTATGCAACATGTGCATTGTGCCAACATCCATCCATTACTTTGTATTGAATGACTTTATATTTTGATAATAATAATAACTAGACATGTAAATTGAACAAGTTCAATTTAAGACTCCAGATTTCAGACTTTTTTTAAGCTGAGTCATCCAAATACTTGTAAGCTGAGTCATTCAGAATAAGCTGAGTCAGCTAGAATATAGACATTTAGACAACTCTTAAGAATGTTATCTTCGACTCCATTGGCTTAACATGGGGATATCATCATATCGACTTTTCGAGACTTCAAACCGCTATAACTATCTAATCAGAAGTTGGGTCGAAATTTGGTTTAAAGATTCTGATTCCTGAGAAAATTCTACCCTTAATTCATAACTCATACGATAAATTTGGAAAACTTTTTATTTTGACCTTCTTTTCAGACACCATATCTCAAAAGTGGGTCAAAATACTTTATGACGGCAGAAGGCTAACACTATAAGCATACTCTTTGCTACCTGTATACAAAATTTCGAAGCAAATCATTAAAGTGTAATGTCAGAATCGCAAAAATAAGGAAAAACTATGAATTTGACCTAGATTTTGACCTAGGCATTTTGGTGTCCAAATTTTAAAGCTAGATAGCCTTCGAGGTCCCCTTCTTTTATAGGCTTTCAGAATGTTAAGCTGTACTCAGTTTATATCTGGTATTTTACACTTCAAAAAATCTTTTTTCTCACTGACATAACATGGGGCACCAAATTTAGCGATTTTTGAGCTTTCAAAACGCCATAACTTCCAAACCGAAAGTCGGATTGAAATTTGGTTTGCAGATTCGGATTCCCTCGAAAATTCTACTCTTAATTCATAGCTCATATGTTAAATTTGGAGAACTTTTTATTTTGACCTACTTTTTGGACACCATATCTCAAAAGTGGGTCAAAATACTTTCTGACGGCAAAAGGCTAACACTATAAGCACACTCTTTGCTACCTGTATACAAAATTTTGAAGTAAATTATTAAAGTGTAGTGTCAGAATCGTAAAAATAAGGAAAAACTATGAATTTGACCTAGATTTTGACCTAGGCATTTTGGTGTCCAAATTTTGAAGCTATGTAGCTTTTGAGGTCCCCTTCTTTCATAAGCATTCATTATGTTAAGCTGTACTCAGTCTATATCTTGTATTTTACACTTCGAAAAAGTCTTTTTTTCCCATTGACTTAACATAGGCACCAAATTTAGCAATTTTTGAGCTTTCAAAACGCCATAACTTCCGAACCGGAAGTCTGATCCAAATTTGGTTTGCAGATTCGGATTCCTGAGATCATTCTACACTTATTTCATAACTCACATGTTGAATTTGGAGAACTTTTTGTTCTGACCTACTTTCTGGACTCCATATCTCAAAATCGGTAAGAGTAATCAAAATTCTGATGTCATATCTTTGATTCGCTTTTTTCTAAGCTACACGATGAAAAAAAGATGAAGGAGTTACGAAGAATATTGACGAAGATATGATGAAGAATGTTGAAAATGTAAGATTTGACCTAGTTCTTGACCTTTGACCTAGATAAAAATTTGACCTAATTTCCCAGAAAGCCGGATACAGTCTTTAGTTAACCATGTAAGTTGGATTAAGTAAGATGTTATAGTTGGAGAGAAAATCTGTTAGGAGGAAGAAGAAAGAAAAAAGAAAAATAACTAGATTTGTAAATTGAACAAAGTTCAATTTAAGACTCCAGATTGATTTACTTGAGTAAAGAGCTAGGAGTAGGAAGCTGAGTAAGTAGATGATTAAGTAATTGAGTAAGTAGCTGAGTAGGTAGCTGAGTAAGCAGCTGAGCAGGTAGCTGAGTAAGTAGCTGAGTAGGTAGCTGAGTAAGTAGCTGAGTAGGTAGCTGAGTAGGTAGCTGAGTAGGTAGCTAAGTAGGTAGCCGAGTAGGTAAGTAGGTAGGCAAGTAGGTAGGTAAGTAGGAATTTTTGACCGGAAGTCGGATTGAAATTTGGTTTGCAGATTTGGATTCCTGAGAAAATTCTACCCTTAATTCATAACTCATTTTATTTTGACCTACTTTTCGGACACCATATCTCAAAAGTGGGTCAAAATACTCTCTGACGGCAAAAGGCTAACACTATTAGCACACTCTTTGCTACCTGTATACAAAATTTTGAAGCAAATCCTAAAAGTGTAGTGCCAGAATCGCAAAAATAAGGAAAAACTATGAATTTGACCTAGATTTTGACCTAGGCATTTTGGTGTCCAAATATTGAAACTAGGTAGCTTTTGAGGTCCCCTTCTTTTATAGGAATTCATTATCTTAAGCTGTACTCAATCTATATCTCGTATTTTACACTTCAAAAAAATCTTTTTTCCTTGACTTTCTATCAGGATAACATCAGATCGATTTTTCTCAAAATTTCAAATCGCCATAACTTTCAAACCGGAAGTCGGATCGAAATTTGATTTAATGATTCGGATTCCTGACAAAATTCTACCCCTTATTCATAACTCATACGTTAAATTTGGCGAATTTTTATTTTGACCTACTTTTCGGACACGCCATAACTTCGGAACCGGAAGTCAGATCAAAATTTGGTTTGCAGATTCGGATTCCTGAGAAAATTTTACTCTTAATTCATAACTCATATGTAAAATTTGGAGAATTTCTTATTTTGACCTACTTTTCGGACTCCATATCTCAAAAGTGGGTCAAAATACTCTCTGACGGCAAAAGGCTAACACTATTAGCCCACTCTTTGCTACCTGTATACAAAATTTTGAAGCAAATCCTAAAAGTGTAGTGCCAGAATCTCAAAAATAAGGAAAAACTATGTATTTGACCTAGATTTTGACCTAGGCATTTTGGTGTCCAAATTTTAAAGCTAGATAGCCTTCGAGGTCCCCTTCTTTCATAGGCTTTCAGAATGTTAAGCTGTACTCAGTTTATATCTGTTTTTTTACACTTCAAAAAATCTTTTTTCTCATTGACATAACATGGGGCACCAAATTTAGCGATTTTTGAGCTTTCAAAACGCCATAACTTCCGAACGGAAAGTCGGATTGAAATTTGGTTTGCAGATTCGGATTTCTGGGAAAATTCTACCTTTAATTCATAGCTCATATGTTAAATTTGGAGAACTTTTTATTTTGACCTACTTTTTGGACACCATATCTCAAAAGTGGGTCAAAATACTTTCTGACGGCAAAAGGCTAACACTATTAGCATACTCATTGCTACCTGTATACAAAATTTGGAAGTAAATTATTAAAGTGTAGTGTCAGAATCGTAAAAATAAGGAAAAATTATGAATTTGACCTAGATTTTGACCTAGGCAGTTTGGTGTCCACATTTTAAAGCTATGTAGCTTTTGAGGTCCCCTTCTTTTATAAGCATTCATTATGTTAAGCTGTACTCAGTCTATATCTTGTATTTTACACTTCGAAAAAGTCTTTTTTCCCATTGACTTAACATAGGCACCAAATTTAGCGATTTTTGAGGTTTCAAAACGCCATAACTTCCGAACCGGCAGTCGGATTGAAATTTGGTCTGCAGATTCGGATTCCTGAGAAAATTCTACACTTATTTCATAGCTCATATGTTAAATTTGGAGAACTTTTTAGTTTGACCTACTTTCCGGACGCCATATCTTAAAATCGGTAAGAGTAATCAAAAAACGGATGGCACACTCTCGATTTGTTTTTTTCTAAGCTACACAATAAGATGTACATCCAGGTGTTTCGATAAATAATGACGAAGATAATTGACAGAATGTTAAAAATGTAAGATTTGACCTAGTTCTTAACCTTTGACCTAGAAAAAAAGTTGACCTAATTTCCCAGAAACTAGGTCGATGGGCTATGTTAGCCATGTAAGTAGGTTAAAGTAAGCTCTTCTAGTTGCTGAGAAAACGTGTAAAGAAAGAAAGAAAGAATAACTAGATTGGTAAATTGAACAAAGTTCAATTTAAGACTCCAGATTGATTTACTTGAGTAAAGAGCTGAGTACGTAGATGATTAAGTAATTGAGTAAGTAGCTGAGTAGGTAGCTGAGTAAGTAGCTGAGTAGGTAGCTGAGTAAGTAGCTGAGTAGGTAGCTGAGAAGTAGGTAGCTAAGTAGGTAACCAAGTAGGTATGTAGGTAGGTAGGTAAGTAGGAATTGTTGAAAGAATATTTGATGGATCTGCATTGTGGATACTGGCAAATGTGAATTTTAAATAAATGTGAATTTTAAAATGGCATAGAATCTAAACTGGGAGTCGGATTGAAAGTTGATTTGCAGATTTGGATTCCTTAGAAAATTCTACCCTTAATTCATAACTCATAAGTTAAATTTGGAGAACTTTTTATTTTGACCTACTTTTCGGACACCATATCTCAAAAGTGGGTCAAAATACTTTCTGACGGCAAAAGGCTAACACTATTAGCACACGCTTTGTTACCTGTATACAAAATTTTGAAGCAAATTATTAAAGTGTAATGTCAGAATCGCAAAATTAAGGAAAAGCTATGAATTTGACCTAGATTTTGACCTTGGCATTTTGGTGTCCACATTTTGAAGCTAGGTAGCCGTTTGAGGTCCCCTTCTTTTATAGACTTTCATTATGTTGAGCTGTACTCAGTCTATACCTGGTATTTTACACTTCAAAAAGATATTTTTCCCTATTGATATAACATGGGGCACCAAATTTAGCAATTTTTGAGCTTTCAAAATGCCATAACTTCCGACTTGAAAGTGGAATCAAAATTTGGTTTGCAAATTCGGATTCCTGAGAAAATTCTACCCTTATTTCATAGCTCATATGTTAAATTTGGAGAATCTTTTATTTTGACCTACTTTTCGGACACCATATCTCAAAAGTGGGTCAAAATACTTCCTGACGGCAAAAGGCTAACATTATTAGCACACTCTTTGCTACCTGTATACAAAATTTAGAACCAAATCATTTAAGTGTAGTGTCAGAATCGTAAAAATTAGGAAAAACTATCAATTTGACCTAGATTTTGACCTTGGGATTTTGGTGTCCAAATTTTGAAGCTAGGTAGCTTTTGGGTACCCTTCTTTTATAGGAATTCATTATGTTAAGCTGCACTCTGTCTATATCTCATATTTTACAATTAAAAAAAGTCTTTTTTCCCATTGACTTAACATGGGGCACCAAATTTAGCAATTTTTGAGCTTTCAAATCGTCATAACTTCCAAACGGGAAGTCGGATCGAAATTTGGTTTGCAGATTCGGATTCCTGAGAAAATTCTACCCTTATTTCATAGCTCATATGCTAAATTTGGAGAACTTTTTTAGTTTGACCTACTTTCCGGACGCCATATCTCAAAATCGCTAAGAGTAATTAAAAAACGGATGGCACACACTCGATTTGTTTTTTTCTAAGCTACATGTTGAAAAAAAGATGAAGGAGTTACCACAAGTAACAACGAAGATAATTGACAGAATGTTGATTTGACCTAAATTTGACCTAGTTCTTGACCTTTGACCTAGATAAAAATTTGACCTAATTTCCCAGAAACTAGGTTGATGGGCTATGTTAGCCATGTAAGTAGGTTAAAGTAAGTTCTTCTAGTTGCTGAGAAAAAGTGTTCGGAAAGAAAGAAAGAAAGAAAGAATGAATAATAATAATAAGAAAACTGGCAAAAGCAATAGACTCCAGATTTTCATCTGGAGTCTAATAATAAGAAAACTGGCAAAAGCAATAGACTCCAGATTTTCAATCTGGAGTCTAATAATAAGAAAACAGGCACTGGAGTCTAATAAACAATAAACAATATGATATAGTTCAAATCTTCCTTCTGATCTATAGGCGATAGGTATGTTTATTTTTTTGAAGCTAGATTTTAAAACAAGACTGAACAAACAATGGGATTTATGATTTTACAATTTCCATTATCGTACACATGTCAGGTGTCAAATAACAAGATTAGGATTTTATAACAATAAACAATATGATCCAGTTCAAATCTTCCTTTTGATCTACAGGCGATAGAAATGTTTATTTTTTTTGAAGTAAGATTTTAAAACAAGACTGAACAAACAATGGGATTTATGTTTTTCTATTTTCCATTATCTTACTCATATGTCAGGTGTCATAAACAATCAGATTGGGATTTTATGATCAAGTTCAAATCTTCGTTTTGATCTATAGGTGACAGAAATGTTTTTTTCTTTGAAGTTTGATTTCAAATCAAACTGCACAAACAATGGGATTATATTGTATTTTAATCTACTTAAAACAAGTAAAATCATTTGGGTCGACTTGACTAAGGGATGAGTTGACCAAGGGTTGAGATGACTTGGGGTCGAGTTGACTAAGGGTCGAGATGACTTGGGGTCGACTTGACTAAGGGTTGACTTGACTTGGGGTCGACTTGACTAAGGGTTGAGTTGACTTGGGTTGAGTTGACTTGGGGTTGAGTTGACCAGGAAGCTTATTCTCAAGGGTTTGTGACTTTAATTGATTTTTCATCTGACACTTTTCAGTTATATCCCATTCATCATCCAACTCGGTATGCACTGACATTGCCATATGTAGCACAGTCAGTGCTTAGAATACTTTTCCTTAAAAGTGAAAGCATTAAAATTATGAGATCCAGGGCACAAACCAGGAAATACTTAAGTTTGTGTATGAAGCATTTTCAGTGTAACAGCTCAGGTATAAGTAATAATAATATCTAATTTTTGTTTCATTCATTTAACATGTAATTATAGTTAATATTGTGGCAACAATCATGCTAAACGACAGATTTAAGACTGAGCTGAATAAGCTGCGGAGCTGTCTGTAAAACTCTAACGTGATATCTACGTTAAAAGTTGTAAAACAGATACAGCGAAATAAAGCCCAAAAAATCTAAATCATTACCTAGAAAGTAAGCAACAAACTCCACAGACATTGCTGGTTGAATCTGTCCTCCTTTCTTCCTCAGATCTGACTTGTTAGTCATGTGATCCACTGCCTGTGTAGAGATTCCCATGAGTTCTGCCTTATGGAGTAACCGACGCACTGCAGCTGGGCACGTTGTTAGAAGTCTAGGTTGTTTCTCATCAGGAACTGTGAATTACAAATTGGAGATAGGGAAAAGGCCCTAACCTCATACTGCTGTCACACTTGGGCCGTATGGTTTCACCAATCACCACTGTGTGAATATTTTGGGGGCAGATGGCATGGCATGGATTAATAATTAAATACACAGTCAGCAAAACAAATAGTTTTACAGAAAGATATCCCCTATCACACCAAATACAAAAATTAATGTCCAAAATTATTGTGAACGGTGAGCCCACAAGGTTAATGTGACAGCTACATTACACATAAAAGTTTACGTTATCTTTAATGATTTAAAATATATTCAATTTATAGGACATTTGTACTTTTCTAATTGTTTATCAATTGTGATTTTGAGTCAATGGGTATTCAACAAAATCACAAATGAAAGTTAAGAAATCAAAACCATTTAAAACCTTAATAATATACAAAAATATTTCATTCTATCGAAGGTGAATACAAGCAATATTCCACAAAGCTCGTAAATAGAATGAGATATTTGTTTTATTATACATTGTTAATATTCCTCACTTTCTCATTTGGTCACCATTAAATTTGAATTGGCTTACCTGTGTCGAAGGAAGTCATGCTTCCAAAAAAACTGTTCAATTTTGATTTAATATCAATTTTGTCACAGTGTTTTCAAATCAACCACTTCGTCCTTGCTAGTTATCCAATATTGAAAGATTTTCACTGATCTTATTGTTGCCTTTACTGTGCTATCTAAATGGTATTACCATGAATTCTATCAATTTCTTCTGGAGAAATATTTGGAAATCTCTGTTTACCTTCTGTCATCTTGGTATTATGGGATATATAATATCAAAATTACTCTTAACAAACTCACAGCCAGAGAATATGCTTTTTAGATTACGCTGGACAAACTCACAGCCGTGGAATATGGGTTCTCATTTCCTGGTCACACGTAGGACATAAACCAATCAGAGAGTGAGGAATATCACAGTGATCTCCTTTTTCAGGATAAATGCACTTTTTTGATCAAAATAATATGGCAAAGTATTTTGGATGGTAGGATTACAGAATATTATATTACATGTACTTTTGCAAAGTACAGGTATGCTTTGTCTTTTGATATAGGCATGAGAAGAAAATGATGAATTGAAAATGTCATGAAAAACCAAAGAACCAAGCATTCTACAGTAACCATGCAGATTTTAGTCAAAGCACACAATCAATGAATCATGATGAAGTTTTTATACCAAGGACAGGTATTAAATAATTTTGAAAAGCTACATATCCAAAGCAGTATTTAAATATGAGCATGAAATGGACATTTAAATAAAAAAAATTTGCACATCTTTGTAAGCAATATGAAGCAAATCATTTAACGTTTTGTTATGGTGTGATTGTGAAACAAAGAGTACATGATGCTAAATCTGCATGCTTAGAATCTTGTTTACTTGGTTTTCCGTTGCGGGCCTTACCCCAAGACGGCGGCCGTTTGGCCCGAGATATCAAATATTTTTGTCGATGGCGATGAAGCTTTCGGTGGACACGTAACTGAAAAACAGAATAAAAATTTTAAGAAAATCAAAAATTCATTTTTCAAAAGATGCACATACATACATGCGACAATTTTGGAAAAATGAATCTCTATAATACCGGTAATGTCACAAAATGATTCAAATCAAACTTTCCAAATTATTGATCAGCTATTCTTACTATCACAATCCTTTTGAGTCATTTAGCAAAAATATGTTGACTATCGTACAAGGCCCATTATCTCGATTTAAAAGCCATATTCTACGGTTTAAAGAAACTACCAAAACTTTGATATTTTTCCACTCATTACAGAAATACCATTTTTATTTTGCAAAAATTATTCAGTTTTAGTTTCCAGTGGAAGTAAGAAAAGTGTTTTGAATATTCATACACTTGTATTACTATAATCATCCTAAAGAATGGTTTCAGTAGCTACTAGCTATGTTTAATGTGACCCAAGAAAAAGATGACCCAAGAAAGGATGGACATAAGGTTGGTGATTTCATAGGCTCAACATGAACCCTGTATATGTATTTGGCAATAGTAAACACTGCTTACATTTTCTTTTTCATCTTCGATCTCTGTCTCCGTATGCTGTTTCATACGTGATTGAATGGCAAGAAAATTGCGTCTTTTCCTGCGTGTAGTTAGTTTATCAGCATGCTGTTTACAATGGGCAAAGAATGGGTCAGCAATCTCTTCATCTGGGGAAGCCTCTGAGAGGAGGCCTTCCCTCTGAGCACTAGAAACAATGAAGGCAAGGCAATCAAAAAACAGATGACTTAAATAACAGGCAATTAAAAAACAGATGAGCAAGAACACCTCAAAACACTGCTAGATTCCATTTGATGAAGCCCTAAGAAATCACTACACTAGTACACTTGTATAATCAAGAGCATGTCATGATATATGGCATACTTATTGTAATGATTTTATATTATCATCCATAAACTTATGAATCAAATAATTTTCATTCAATAAATCAATTTTAAAACCATTTTCATAAATCAATTTTATTATTTCAAGAAAAAGAGTGCTATATACCATGTGACATGAAAGTAGCTCCTACACATGCCTGCGTCACAGCTGATACACACCCCAGTGCGACTAAATCGCGAATCTTCACAAAGACTGCATTCCTGAAATACAAGAATGCACACATAATTCTTCAGAGATTATAATTTACCCATTAATGAAACAATAGATAATATAAAATGGTACAAGGCATAATTGTGAATATTTCGATTGAGACACCAAAAACACAACTTTTTAATATCTGTATTGTTTAAACATTGTTTACATTTGGTAATGCAGCTACTGTCAGGGCATTAATGCTAAAATCAGGCTTTGCTCTGTCTACCCTGAGGCTCAGAGATAGTAGTAATTATGACCCCTCCCCTCTGACTAGGATGGACAATTTTACAATTTTGATGCTGATAAGATCGTATTGATCCTAAAAGGAACTGTTATGGACTTTCATGAAATAATTGCTAGTTACCTATGAAGGCAGAAAATGCAGTGACAGCATTACTAATTGGGTAATTGGCATTCCTAATATTTTGATCAATCTGATCTAATTGGGTATGGCTAGATCAAAGCATTATTTCTTATAGAAAGATTGTAGATAAAAATTAAATCATAAAAGCCAAAACTATAAACTTACCCTTGCACCCCATCTAGCATATGGCATCTCAAATAGTGTCACGGAGGAGAGCTGATCAACATCAGCAAATGCTATACCAGGAATATAGAGGGCACACACCAGGTGGACCCACCTTCCAGCATCCGTCTCTTTGAATATTCCGCTAGTGTTGGGGCAGAGCTCGCAGTTCTGAAATGATGAATCATTAATTACAGTAGGCACCGTATGTATCATTTAAGCCAAAAGTCACTAAAAAATATAGATATTTTAGCTGAGTATCATTGATAGAACGCTATACATTAAAAATTTATGTTCTTATTTTTCTGATAACAAATGTTACTTATGACAATTGCAAATGAAAGATGGGCTTTATATATATCATAGCATATAACATATAACTTAGATCTTTATTTTGCTAAAATTCCCACTTATACCATTTAAGGGAACTTTGTAGTATTAACCAAGATTAACCATGCTAATATTCTTGAATTTCATGATCCTATTGCTCATATACGATTTGTTCTCTATAAAATCCTACATAAAATATGAATAAATACACATACTGGCTTGACTCCTGCCTTACAAGCGTCACAAAACCAGGGTTCAGTGCTAGCTGAGGACTCAGTGCTTGCTACAGATGTGGACTCACAGACACCATAGCAACCTTCATGTACTGTAATACCACAACCATCACACTCCACTATCTCATCAGACTCCTCACTGGAATAAAGAAAAAAACCATAGATACAATAACATTATGGCAGGGGGTAAAGCTAGAATCAAACATATAAAGCCTGACAAAACTAGATAACGGCAACTCCGCGGAGTAGCAAATCCCAACGAACAAAATATCAATTACCGAATTCCAATCAGTTATACTCATTACTTTGGTTAAAATTGAAAAAATTTGATTTTAGAATTGCAAATTCCTGCAAAGCAGCCCTTTTGAATTTTCTGTGATACAAATCTGAAAAATAATACCATAATTGTGATCTACTCCAAAATTCCTTCAATTTGAGTATAATATACCGTATTCTCTGTAATTACCGCCCACTCTCTAATAAGCGCCCACCCCGCTTCACAAAGTTCAAGAAACATCGAGGAATCAACAAGAATTGAAGAATATATCAGGAAAAAAATATTTCTCAAAATCCAGGAGCGGGCGATAATAGAGTACTTACCCTAAAACTGCTGTAAACACGACGCGTTTTGTAATTCTATGCATCCTCTCGATACATATCTATCGATGGGTGCTTCCCACACCATACCATGCTAATATTGTCTCCAAATAGTCCATAATGAATGAAGGAATTGTTCTTTATCGGCATTCAGAAATTTCAAAAGCTACTGCGCAGATGTTCTGCGCATGTCAAGGTCGTGAACTTTCTGGTTTCTTTTTAATGTTTCTCGACTTTTACACGACTTTTGCACGAATAATGATGATCTCTCATCAAATTAGAAATAATGTATAACTTTAGATCGATATCCAGCAGTCTCTAGTGGAAATATTGAAGGTAATCGGCGATAATGACAAAGTGGGCGTGCCGGAAATAAATTAGACATAGACGGGTCTTCAACCACTGTCAATATTGTCTAAGCGATCTTTACCGTATTCTCTCCAATAACAGCACTTGTCATATTATTATAAAAATATGTTGAAGAAAATGCATTCTTGTCAAGAAAAATTGCCATACATGAAATTCCTCGGGATTTCTGATTTCTTTCATACATGGGCGCTTATTAGAATGGTCTAAATAATGTATTTTCAATTTTCTAAACGCCCTGGGCGCTAATTACAGAGAATACGGTAGCCATACTTTGAAGGGATCGAAAAATTATTGCGAAATCGTACATCAGCCGGCCATTTTGAATTTTACAAGACTCGAATCAGAAAAAAGATACAATATTTGCAATCTACTCTTAATTGCCTTTCATTTGAGTATAATAAAGCTATACTTCGGAAAGATCTAAAAATTAGCGAAAATTTCTGTTTTCCTGTCCCCCCATACACGGCCCCTGGGGGTCAGGATGAAAAACACGGAATATATGTGAAATAAATAAATGTTGTGAATATACTACCAAAATTTCAAACAATAATATTAACTACTTTAGTTTAGAATATAAAATTTATGATTTTTGCGAAAAAGTCCCGTCATTTTTAAAGCAGCGGCCATCTTGAAAAAAAATTTTTTTGCGTAAAACTATTCACCAATATACATCTTTCCACTAAATATGAAGAAAATCCGTCTACTAGTATTTGAGTTATCTTCCCGACCGACCGACCGACCGACCGACCGACCGACCGACCGACCGACCGACCGACGGAGGGCTTCACTATATCCCTACCGAACTTCGTTCGTTGGGATAATAAACCAGAACACTCGGCTTTCAATAGCAGGGGGCGAGGGCCTAAAATCGCCGTTTGTTTTCGATAATTCGCCGTTTGTCAGAAGCCAAATATTGTCTAAGTTTGGGGGAAATTTTAAATCTTCTACAGACTATCCTTTATTTGATTTAGCGATCTTATTTTGCACTTCCTTGTTTATGATTTGTACCTTATTTTCCATGGGGCATGCAGATAAATGTATGATTAATACAATTATGTTCAACCAGTCACAGTACATCTTTCCAATGGGTGTAAAATTGTATTAATCAGTTAAAGGTCCAATATAAACTTTGGCTTGTCCAATATTATCAAAGTGTGAAATGTGAAACTTTTTATTGATTTCAAGAGCGTTTTTGAAGGACCGTTTGTTCAAAATATTGTGAATTTATTAAAAACTAACTTTGAGAGGGTACACTAACACATAATTTACACCGATGCATAGCATTCATCTTCACTTGTTTTTTGCCGACAAAGTTAAGAAAATCGGTTGATAAATAAGCGAGTAATAAACTCATTCATGGATGAACGTGGTTCAGGACGAATGCATTTCGAAATTTTAGTTCTCACAGAAACCAATGGTAATAATATTAAAAACATAACATATTCATCCTTTTAAACTGGTTAGACAGTCAACATAGGTTTATTTCTTAGTTTAACATAGAAAAAGATAGACATGGAGAAATGTTGCCACCTAAATGATGTCACTTTTTAATAATGATAAATAGTAAATATATGAAAAAAGATGTTTTCAAACTCAACATGGGGACTGTAAAGTCAGCAGTATCCTTAAATTTCGATGCAAATTATATATGTACACAGGATGCATTCTATATTAAAAGTGTTCAATTCAGCAGATGCATTTGAATTTGTAAACTGCACCCTATGCAAGGGTAAGTTATCTCATAGAAGGTAAATGACATTCTATATAAGTTGCCATAGTCATTCCACAGTTCAAGGTGTCATTTATGTAGCCCATGTCTTGTGGTCAATCCAATTGACCCAATATCACACGGGGAAATGACTTTGACAAACCTGCAAAAAGTAAAATCCTGGACATCTTCTAAATCACCTCTTAATAGGATTCAAAGTTCAAAACTTTGATTGACTGTACAATAATATTGTATTTCAGATACATTGTCTTTGAAATATAATGTACATCAGAATTTTATATCATTTTTGGCAAAGCCTGTCCATGCCCTTGTTCATGTGTCCACTTTCCGTCCATGGACAAGTATTTGCATTTCCGGGAGTGTAGAATTTGGTGGTTTTGAATGCCGTCGCTTGTTTTTTTCATCTGCCCCTTGTGCAGAAAGTTACTGAAACCACTGGAACAACGGCAACGCCAAAGCGTAGCGAATCCCATCGAACAGAAATTGCTGGCATTTTTACAAACGAAAAGCAAATATCATAAAACAACACACCAGAAAGGACACCAAAATGGTTGCTCACTAGCCAAGTTGTCATCAGAAGAAATAATATGCTTTTAAGTAGCCACCTCTAAAATATTTGAAATATCGCACACGTACTTGTAAAATAACACACATAAAAATGGTGGCCATTTTTCAAAATGGCCGACTACTCCCCAAAGTTTTATTAGACAATGTGCCATGCTTAAAGTATTCACATATCAAATATGAACAAAATCGCTCCACTACTTTTCGAGTTATAGTAAAATCGTTAAAATGGTGGCCATTTTTCAAAATGGCCACCTTCTACCAAAAGTGTCATTAGAAATAGACAGTTTTCGAAATGGTCGTCTTGTACCAAAAGTGTCATAGGACAGTGTGCCATGCTTATAGTATTCACATACCAAATATGAACAAAATCGCTCCACTACTTTTCGAGTTATAGTAAAATACGTTAAAATGGCGGCATTTTTCAAAATTTTTTTCAAAATGGCCGCCTTCTACCAAAAGTGTCATAGGACAGAGTGCCATGCTTATAGTATTCACATACCAAATATGAACAAAATCGCTCCACTACTTTTCGAGTTATAGTAAAATACATTAAAATGGCGGCCATTTTGAAAAATGGCCGCCTTCTACCAAAAGTGTCTTTAGACAGTGTGCAATGCTTATAGTATTGACATACCAAATATGAACAAAATCGCTCCACTATTTTTTGAATTACAGCAAAAATCGTAAAATGACAAGTAAAGGCCGCCATTTTTCAAGATGGCTGCCATGTGCTTCTTAAATATCTACATTTGTAGCATTATTATTGTCCTTTATAATTTTTTTACATTTAAAACATATTGCTATTACAGTTTTACATATTGCACCTAAATTACTGTAAAATCGGCAGTTATCTTCCCGACCGACCGACCGACCGACCGACCGACTGACGGAGGGCTTCACTATATCCCTACCGAACTTCGTTCGTTGGGATAATAAACCAGAACAACGGCAACGCCAAAGCGTAGCGAATCCCATCGAACAGAAATTGCTGGCATTTTTACAAACGAAAAGCAAATATCATAAAACAACACACCAGAAAGGACACCAAAATGGTTGCTCACTAGCCAAGTTGTCATCAGAAGAAATAATATGCTTTTAAGTAGCCACCTCTAAAATATTTGAAATATCGCACACGTACTTGTAAAATAACACACATAAAAATGGTGGCCATTTTTCAAAATGGCCGACTACTCCCCAAAGTTTTATTAGACAATGTGCCATGCTTAAAGTATTCACATATCAAATATGAACAAAATCGCTCCACTACTTTTCGAGTTATAGTAAAATCGTTAAAATGGTGGCCATTTTTCAAAATGGCCACCTTCTACCAAAAGTGTCATTAGAAATAGACAGTTTTCAAAATGGTCGTCTTGTACCAAAAGTGTCATAGGACAGTGTGCCATGCTTATAGTATTCACATACCAAATATGAACAAAATCGCTCCACTACTTTTCGAGTTAAAGTAAAATACGTTAAAATGGCGGCATTTTTCAAAAATTTTTTCAAAATGGCCGCCTTCTACCAAAAGTGTCATAGGACAGAGTGCCATGCTTATAGTATTCACATACCAAATATGAACAAAATCGCTCCACTACTTTTCGAGTTATAGTAAAATACATTAAAATGGCGGCCATTTTGAAAAATGGCCGCCTTCTACCAAAAGTGTCTTTAGACAGTGTGCAATGCTTATAGTATTGACATACCAAATATGAACAAAATCGCTCCACTATTTTTTGAATTACAGCAAAAATCGTAAAATGACAAGTAAAGGCCGCCATTTTTCAAGATGGCTGCCATGTGCTTCTTAAATATCTACATTTGTAGCATTATTATTGTCCTTTATAATTTTTTTACATTTAAAACATATTGCTATTACAGTTTTACATATTGCACCTAAATTACTGTAAAATCGGCACTAAAATGGCCGTCATTTTGAAATGAGCGGCCATTTTGAAAATCGGCTTTCGAGCAGAACTTCTACCCCCATAGGCTATATTTGTACAAAATATGAACAAAATCGGGCCAACGGTATTTGAGTTATTGCCCGGACGGACGGACGGACGGACGGACAGACGGACGGACGGAGGCGTTCCCTATATCCCTCCGAACTTCGTTCAGAGGGATAATAAACGATTTAGGATTTCCAACCAATGTAGCTTTTACTTTTCAAAATACAGTATCTATAATATATCATGAAATGGTGAAGTTATTAAAGAATTTGCAAGTTTTATTTCTAATGTGAATGTACACAAATGTGGTGAATTTTGTCAATTTAAGTCAAGGAACTGCACTGAAAGGTCATCATCAGTAATCTCCCCAACATTAAGCAAGTGGGTGCTGCACCCACTTCAGATTTTAAAAATAAGCTTGCATTCAACTGAGAATCCATTTGCACCCACTTGAAAATGACAAAATCATGAAAAGTGAAAGATAAATTATGGAATTGAGAATTTTACACGGATGTGAGACAAAATCCTGGGGTGAACACTGCATCATACTTCAGAAGTTATCATTTTGACCTCCTAAGAAGTACTGTACCCACCTGTCTTCACCTTGACATACGCAACATATGAGAACTTTAAACCTGGCAGGTGTTCCTGTTGAACCATCTACTGACAGAACAGAGGCCTGTAAAAAGAATGATCAATTGTGAGTATTTAAAAAGTATGCCTAGCCTCTTTGGTGTACACACATCGACTTATACGGCGATATGATTAATCAGTATAATAGATTAATCATGTTTAGTGTCTACCTAGCATATACATGTACCTTGGATTCTGCCTGCAACTTTTCCCGCTTTTCTCTGCTTTTGTCTACATCTTCCATGGACACTGCATCATCTGGTATATAGTCTTCATCATCACTATCATCACTCCCAATGTTGTCAAAGGTTATCTCCTTCTCTATGTCACTCTTCTCATCAACGCTCTCATTGTCTAGAAAATCCATATTGAAGCTTAGAATCTTAGTAAATGACATCTTTCAATATATTACATCAGTAATTCATCATCTAGACATCAACAGAGGCAGAATAATTGCAGAATAAAATGCACATAACAAAAAATATATGCTTATTCAGCATTTTTGAGTTGGCCCAGAGTATGGACCCTCTCTATATGGAACACCTGTAAACAAGGAACAGTTTTGTCCAGTCTATCCTTGTTCGCAGGTTTTACTGTATGTAACTAAAAACTGGCCTGCTAGTGCCTTCTTGAATATCAGGCATGGTATCATATTTATTTATTCATTCATTTATTTAAGTGTCACCTATCTAAGATAGCCAGCCCTACCTGGGCTTATGAGACAAATTTTACATAAGTTACATTTTTAACAATACAAATATAAAATAAAAAAATAAAATTAGTGCAGTTCAGTTCAACATTATTATTGATTTTGATTTTTAAATAAAACTTTTTTCCTTATATAGAATATGTTTTGCAAATACTTTCCAAAGCATTTAATATATTTTTTATTTTCAAAGATATCTTTAAAGGAATTGTTTTTGATTTCTTGAAGAAAAGACTTTCTAGCTTCTGAATAATATGAACACTCATATACAAAATGGCTTTCATTTTCAATTTCATTTGAGTTACAAATTTGGCACTGTCTTTGGTTTACTGGAGTTTTCGGTTGAGTAAATCTCCCCGTTTCTATTGCTAAAGGAAGTATACCAGTTCTTAACTGAGCTATTAAAGAGCGTTCACCCCTTGTCAATGATGATGTGAGTAAATATTGTTCTATTGGACAGTCATGTTTAAAAGTTAGGTAAGTCCTCAATTTGGGTTGTGATTCAATGTCTATGCGTAATTTTTATTGTAATTTTAACTTTAGTTCCCTCTTAACAAAGCTGATATTAACATATTGTTTCTGGTTATAATGATCATTCATCCCTAACTCATTGAAAATTGATTTTATATCTAAACACCATCCATAAGGTTGATTATAGTCAATATTAAATATTTTTTTGGTGAGTCTATTATTTTCCATGAATGTGAATCTATTCCATAGACGCACAATATCTAGTGTTCTAGTGTCTTTCATATATGTTATATAGTGTATAAGATATCTGACACAGTCATATGACCTGGTCAAGCTGGGATTACATCGCCCCCTTCACAGTTTAAACTACTTTCATTTGAAATTATGATTAAATTTTTGAAATACTACTCTCATTAAACATAAATAAAGCAACCAGCCCTGACATGATAAGTAATAGAATGTTAAAAATGGCAGCACCAGCCCTCTCCCTCATTTTATCCAAACTGTTCAACAAAATGTTTATTCTTCAAGCCTTTCCTCAAAAATGGAAAATTGGGCATATTTTACCTGTCCATAAAAAGGGTGATAAATCAAATATTCAAAATTTCCGTCCAATCACACTCCTTTGTTGTATTTCAAAAATAGCTGAATGCATCATTTTCAAACGATTATTTGACCATCTACTTTCAAATGACCTATTTTACAATCTTCAAAGTGGGTTTCTGCCAGGGCACAGCACTCAGGCTCAATTAGCATTATTGATTTTATAACAAATGAAATAGAATCTGGGGGAAATGTAAGAGGGGTTTATTTAGACATTTCAGCTGCGTTTGACACCTTACCTCATTCTTTGCTACTAAAAAAACTTGAATCTTATGGAATTAGCCCAAGTATTCTATTACTTTTAGCATCACATCTCTTTAAAAGACAAGCAAAAGTTATCCTCGATGGTCAAGAGTCTGTTTTGAGCCATGAGGATTATACAATTGTATACAGGGTGATCAATAAATAAGGTAAAAGTATCTGGCATTTCTTCAGATTTTACCCAATACTCATAAGATTTGCACAGAATAATGTTCAAACATTATTGAATTGAAATATTAAGTTACAGATCAAAGTGATGTGATTGGTTGAAGTTATGGTTGCCATAGCAACAGAAAGCATGAAGACCCGGGGCAACTATCAAAGAACTAAATTTTCAGTCGAAGTGCTTTTGATAATATATTTCAAATCACAATTGAAATGACATATCATATTCTTATTTTATACTTCATAACTACTCTACCTAATGTCCTTTGTTTTTACCATGTAGTTCATGTCTTCTACTCCAGTCTTTGAACACCTTTTTAAACCCATTTTCCCATAGCCTGCTGCAAATTTTTAAGATAGCTGACTTCAAGTCTTCCCATGAGAAACTACCTCAACTCCCTCTCCAGGTCGCCATGAAGGTAAAATCATTATATAGGGGACAAGTCGGGAGAGCATAGAACATGACCTAACAGTAGGAAACCTAGTGCTTCAAAGGCTTGTACCGTAAGAATAGCATTGTGAGATGAAGCATTATCCCAGTGCAATGTGAAACATTTTACGGGCCTCTTCTCCCTCTTTGCTCTCATCAAATCTCTTCTGTATTGTTTTTCATCATTGACCTGTATCATAGACTTTCTATGATCACATCAGTTTTCATTATATATTTATCTTTTCCGTGACATCAAACACCAAATTTGCAAGAAAGTATGTAACAATGGTAGCAAAGTATTAAAACAATAAATGCTGGCACCCATGTTTATTTCTTTTCAGTTTGAAAAAGAGGTACTTTTTATCAATTTTTGTTCAAATTGGACGCAATTAAATTGCCCCGGGTACCTCTGACTCCAGTTGCCATGGTTACTGTAATATTAACCAATCAGATGACAGAATTTATATCTTTATATGTTTTAATTCAGAAATGTACAAGGTATATTCTGACCAAATTTCAGGATGTTTGGACCAATATTTACAAAATACCAGATACTTTTACCTTATTTATTGATCACCCTGTAAATGCTAGCGTTCCACAAGGCTCTATTCTTGGACCCCTACTCTTCCTGATATATATAAAAGATCTCCCCGAAACCTTATCAAGCAAATGCTATATTTATGCAGATGACACATCTCTATACCAACCATATTCCAAATCAAACCTTATTGAAAGTAACACAATTTTACAATCTGATCTTAATTCAATTTTCCAATGGTCCCAGACATGGAAAATGAACTTCAAGGCCTCTAAAAGCAAAGAAATAATTTTCTCAAACCCAAGGAAATGTGAATATAACGTTCCTGACCTCAAAATTGGAAATGATGTTCTACCTCGAGTTGATCATCATAAACATTAAGGTTAAGATAAACACCTGACTTTTGACCAACACATCACAGAGCTCACCAAGAGAATTGCTAAACTATTAAACCCACTTAAATCTCTAAGCAACAAATTAAATGGAAAACACCTGGAATTAATCTTAAATCTTTCATACTTCCAATTTTCGACTATTGCGATATTCTTTATGGTTGTGCAAATATAAGAAAACTAAAATCCATTAATCAATTATACTACAAATCAGGTGTACTACATGGAACATCTTCAACAAAAGTCCTTAACTGCTTAAATTGGCCAAAGCTATCTGATAAAAGACAAATGCATAGACTTTTCCTAATGTACCGAGCTTATAACAATAAACTTCCATCCTACGTTTTGAGCATTTTTAATCAATACCGTAGAAATCTTCCATCAATAACACAAGAAGTCGTGACTACCAAATTCCAATCAAAACCTCAACATTTTCGAATAGATCATGCGTATTTAAATCCATCATTGACTGGAAGTCTCTCCCAATCAAAATTAAAGAATCACCAAATCTAAATATTTTTAAATCGAATGTAAAGAAAAAATTAATGACTACTTATATCATTAATTCCTCTGAGATCTCCTTGACAAGGAGCCAAGAAATTTCTCTAAACAAGGTGCGCTGTGATCTGATCTTCCAGTCCCACTTTTACGCTCACAATTTTACTAATGTACCATCCCCTACATGCAAATGTGGGTGTAGCAATGAAACATCCATTCATGTCATGTTCTCTTGTAACCTTAGATCACAATATCTTAAAGATTTAGAGGATGCACTCACTCTTCTAAATTTTAATTACCCAGCATTTAAAAACCAGCAAGACAAATTATCATTGTTTTTGTATGGAGACAGAAGTCTGCCAAAAGAAGTTAATATTGAAATTTTAAGGCTCACCTCAGCTTTTATTCAAAGGTGTGCAAGCGTGTAAGTATTTCTTCCACCACCAACTGTATAATTTTGTACACAATTATTCTTTTGCTTGTTGCAAATTCATTGTCATACTTTCTTTTTAACTCTTGTTATTATTCAATTGTGGCTTATAATGCTCCATTGCAAAGCCGCAACATGTGTATGTAATAATTCTATTTTACTATGAAATAAATCACATAAAAAAAATATAAAAAAATTACGATTAAAGGTTTTGAGATAAAATTTATCTTTTTACTGCTTCAACATAACCACATATCAACCACACCAACCTTGTTGAGAAAGTTTGGGGATGGTTCATAATAAGTTTATACCAGACTAAAATCCCAAATTAACAATAACGAGTCAAGATATTGCATATTTCGATAAGTTCAATATTCTTTTTTCAAATAGCCTTATCTAACTTGCCTGATCCACTTTTGTCTGTATTGTCATCAACACCATCACCATCACTGTCTTCATCATCATCAAAGTCATCATCCACATCATCGTCATCTGAACCTGCAATGTTATCATATCTCATTTACATCTCAAGTTTTCTCTCCATAATTTATAAATATTTGCATGTATGAAATTAAACACTCAATTTTTTTGCGGTAAATTGAAAGTCCATGGTGTCTTTCAAAAACTGACTGTCTGAAATGACTGCACTAAATGCCAGGTTCCTTCCTATGATATTATATTAATGTAATGCATTGTACTCTTTAAGTCTTACCTTGCTTTACTTGGTAATCACTGTCATCTGAACTATCCTCCAAACCAAAGTCTAGTTGGATCATATGTTTGGATACTGGCTTCACTCTCCTTTTCCTGGGGTCTCTGTTCACTATAAAACAAGGCATTAACATGACATAAGTGTCACCACCTATTTGCAATTACAAAATGTAACCATTTGTTCCAGATGTAGAAAGTTAACAGTGACACTGCATATTAATGAGCAAAAATCTGGGGCTATTAAGGGGAAAATAGAACCTACAATATGTACAGTGAAGCTTGTCCATCTGGGATGAATATTATAAATGGGTCTGCCATATTTACACACATGCAAAACATTCATGTAAATATGCTGAACTTAATTTCATTCATTGGGAAAATTATCTCGTTTTCTTTTTTTCAGAGGTATGAATGAATAACAGAGATACATAAAGTAATGTATAATTTTGTTCAAAAATAGCAAGCAAGTAAAATATAATGAATACGTTAAGGGCATTATAGGATGAAAATTGCTTTGGGGAAATGTGTATTTTTGAAGCCCTCTTCACTTAGTTTTTTTGTAAGCTATTCTTATAAAAAGTCTGTTTACTTAAACCGAATAATGGGTTTCTTCTACATTTAATTCCTTAGTAAGGTCCTTAATTTTTGGACATCACATTAAGTTTTACATGGGCGTAGGGCTATATTTTGAGTTGGTACGCACACTCAGGGATGCCTGATTGCGTGGCCGAAGGCCGCACATCGCGGGGGTCCGGGGGTATACTCCCCCGCAAATTTTTTTTCAAGGATGTAATTTGATGGAATCTAAGCGTTTTTATCAACTTTAAATGTTGATAATGGTAAACATACAGATACGATAGGAAGCATCAATAAATTCGCAAATAAATTTATGCATTTTAACACATTTTTAATTGTTTTCAAATTCATTTGGTACGCCTGTGCGTATTTTGCGTAATAGGCGCTACGCCCATGAGTTTTGGAGGTTAGACTTCTTCAAGTACACTTTAAAAGAGGTTAAGATCAGGTATATACAACTTGTATACAGTTAAAAAGGGTTTTAAACAAAACAGTCTACCCAGAAGCAGTCAATACAATTTTTGAAATTTTAGAAAATTGTTTGAAACAAAAATGGTGGTCATAAAAAGGAGAATAGAACGCTCTTCGATTCATTTTTTCATTTTTTTCTTTTTCTACCGTATGAATGTCATCACATTTTCAGATTGTATCATTTAGAGCAATATATTGGGCACATTTTCTTAAATATTCAAAAGATTCTGTTCAGTGACCTTTCCTAAGCCCCTACTTTTAGCTATTTTTCAGTCACATTTTCAGAGGACTGAAAAAGTTATTTCATCATGTTTAGGGTCATTCTCACCATGTACATTGTTATCCTGGTCATGTAAATGATATGTGGAACTAGTTAAATTGACTGGAGGTCAAAACAGAACTCTGTTCAAAAAATGAAGCATCTTTTGTCACTTCCTGTGTTGTCATTTCCTGGTAAGTACCTTAAATTTATTGAACCCCGGCTAGAAATTTTCAATAGTTCTCGGTGTTCCAGATAGAATTACTTCTAGTCAAGAATTGGCTAGAGACTAGTGTAACATTAGTGTGCCTATAGTAAAATTTTAAATGTTTGGAACTATTTTGAATTTAAAAAATAAGCAAACCAGAACAACGGCAACGCCAAAGTGTAGCGAATCCCATCGAACAGAAATGACTGGCATTTTTACAAACAAAATATATGACAAATATCATAAAATAACACACATAAGAAAGGCCACCATTTTCAAAATGGTTGCTCACTAGCCAAGTTGTCATCAGAAGAAGTAATATGCTTTTTTTTATAGTATTTATATAGTATTTATAGTACCTGTGAGTATCCTGAACTGCTTATCAAGAGTTCAGGAAGGCATTATTTTTGATCAACTTACCTGTTATTTTGATAATATTTTATCGCCACTACTTAGCGCTTTCAGGAAGGGGTATAGCTGCCAGTCTGTGTTACTAAAATTAGTCAAAGACTGGAAGCTTGCCCTTGATAATAACAAAGTGGTAGGTACGGTGTTAATGGACCTGTCAAAAGCGTTTGACTGTTTACCGCATGATATTTTAATAGCCAAACTCACTGCCTATGGAGTTAGCGACTCAGCTACTTCTCTCTTGAAAAGTTACCTCTCTGACAGGCCACAGAGAGTAAAAATTTCAAATTCAACTAGCTCATGGCAGACCATATTGAAAGGTATCCCTCAGGGAAGTATTCTTGGTCCCTGTCTCTTCAATATCTTTATAAATGACATATTTCTAGCCTTGAAGAACTGTAATTTATATAACTATGCTGATGACAACACAATCTCTGTGATTGGTGAAAACAAACAATCAGTTCTTCAAGACCTGGAATCACAGTCTTCTCTTGCCATCAACTGGTTTAATCAAAATAAAATGCTGGTAAACCCTGATAAATTTCAGGCTATGGTGTTACAACGTTCAAGGATTAACTCCAATTTCCTCCCAGATACTCTAACTTTTGGCAATGCTTCAATTCAAACAGGCAGATAGCACTACTTTTCGTGTAATGGTAAAATACTTCAAAATGGTGGCCATTTTTCAAAATGGCCGCCTTCTACCAAAAGTGTCATTAGACAGTGTACCATGCTTAAAGTATTCACATACCAAATATGAACAAAATTAGTTATTTTGGCCACCCACACTCTTAGGTTGAGCCAAGTATTGCATGATTTGAAGCAATTTTTACCAATTTTGCAAAGGGTTACTCAGTTACACTTGCACTTTACATAGTTCAACTTATATGAGAATACCCCTGGCCCTGTACATGTATAAATCAATTTATCCTTCACTTGTTTTAAAGGCCCGATCTAAAGTTTAAACCACTTTGGCTTATATTGTAGTCTTACCCAATGTTATCAAAGTGTGATATGTGAAACTTTTTTTTAAATTTCAAAAAGTGGTTTTTGATAGACTTAGGGTTAGGGACGAAAAATTTCGAACGCAATGTGTGACATATACGTAATTCGCGTGTAAAGTCCGAACGAAATGCGTACGTTTTTTTTCGGCGTTCTTTGTATATTCAGATAGTTACGTATAATGTGCAGCAAAGCTGTGGTCTTTTGTAATTACGAGAACTAAATGAAATGCGAACATCCGAGCATCGAACAATTTACATTCCATCTTCACACATGTTCGGTAATATAACGTATCATAACTTCCAGAAATGACAAGCCAGTAGGAACATGTTGGGGAATTTTTACAGTTCGTTTACATTTCTTGTATAACTGTACTTATTGTTGATCGGACGGAAAGATAAGCTGATGTAGTTACATTGGAGTTTGTTTACTACCATTTGGAAGGCACATGAGGGTCCCATTCATCAGGTAACACTCATATGTCGAAGTTAACTTCTTGCCTTTTTTAACACGTAACAAGGAGTAGAGCATGAATATCAATATGAAATATGTAGATTAGAAGGCTGATGAAGGTCAGAGCCGTTCGATGGTGTACTATTTTTTTCAAGGCCTGTCTGCGTCGCTAACATGCTAAATATAAGAGTTAGCTGACGTTTGGGAGTCTGACTTACCTTCTAAAGGTTAGAACCCGAATCTTAATGAAACTATATCACCTTTGTTGCGTCGATGATGATGCATAAACATAGCATTTGATAGAAATTAGCGTAAATGCTTTTCCGACTTTTTCATTTTTCATCAATGTTGACTTCCGGGAAGGCGTTGTAGTTATCACGAAATAACGCATTGACCCTTGAACTTTACTTTGTTGACGTGTCAACCAAGCATGTCTGGTGTGAAAATTAAAAGAATATTAAGCAATGTTCTACATCCGCCAAGCTAAGTGAAGTAGTCAATATTAAAAATTACCAATTTCAAGTGAAGTACGCAACGAACGAAACTGCGTGATCTACACTCCCACTATTGGTCTGAATGAAATGCTACGTAGAAATATGAGCCGTCTGCTGTATTAGTCGATTAATAGAGAAAGACCTGTTGGTGATGCTTTATAATTTAGACCAAAACATTGAAGAACAAACGAACCTGTAAATCGTGAAAACAACGAACAAATATTCGGTTTTCACATATGTTCGGTAATTTTTCGTATTGAAACTTCCGGAACTTACAAGGAAATCATTCATTTTCTCGATCCATGATTTACCTCTTGGATGTTGTGGCAAATGCTCCATGGTTGACGGAACAAAGGTGATATGGTTTCATTAAGATTCGGGTTCTAACCTTTACAAGGTAAGTCAGACTCCCAAACGTCAGCTAACTCTTATATTTAGCATGTTAGCGACGCAGACAGGCCTTGAAAAAAATAGTAGGCTAATTCATTAATATCGAAACAGTTTTTTGTGGATCTAACTGTAAGGAGCTACAACTGCAAACATACATGCTCAATGAGTACTTGACATCATCAATTTACACGTGACTCATGTATTGTTTATCAGACAGATTTTATCAAAAACATTGTGTAGCCTATTTGACAGGTGCTGCATAATTTCAAATAAATGAAATTGATGTATCTTCTACAAAAATGAACATATAACTTTGAAACTCTGCAGACATTCAAATAAGAAAATGAAGCATAAGATAAGGTGAATGCAACACTCTAAAGCGACTCAACTTACACATAGTTTTGTAAAGAAACCCAACAGTGGCGTCATCCGCATCTTCGTCCGCCATTTTAACAAGATAATCTCAAAAGCCAAAATTGATTTAGTTTAACATCATGTTATGAAATCAGTTCTTCTCAAATTGTAATTTTAATAAAGTAATTATAAATTGAAGACGAGCTAGTAACTATTTAGATCTAACAGGTATGGAAATGATATCAACCGTTTACATTTGAGACTAGGGATATCCGGGTACTTTCTAAAAAATTTCACTTCTAGAAATTTTATTCTCCTTTTTAAATCAAGGATACAGCCACACTAGATTCACCATGATGCAAGGGCTGACTGCTGCGTCAATTACAAAGCATCCAGCTGTAAGTATTACTAAAATTTAAGTGTCATTATTAGGGTTTAGTTTAGTTATTTTCCATTACCTTTCCGACCGACCAAGCATTTTTATAAAATGACCTTGAACTTCACACTGGTACCTGCGCTTTACTTCGGTCCAAAGCCTTCTCTATATTCCGGCTTTGAGGAGGAAGATTGAGCTGCCTTAGTATTATAAATATTGTAAATCATTGTGTCACACGTACAGTAAATATGGCATAATAATATGAAATACGTAAAGGCTAGAGTACCGACAATTGTCGGTACTCTAGACTCTGATGTGGTGGCACGCTAGAGGACCGACAAATAAATTGTCGGTACGGGAGATATGCTGTGTTAAGACGCTAGAGGACCGACAAATATTGATTTTCGAATTTTCTGGCGCATGCGCAATGCGCGGGGGGATATTTCAGATATCATACGGATATTTTGGGAACAAGAGCAAAACCCGGGGAGGGCATTAGCCCCGGTTACCCGGGGATTACCAAACCCAGTCAAAAAATGGTAACCCGAGAACAGGGAATGGTAGTAAACGTTGAAAACCCAATAAAAACATGAACAAATAAGACGTTAGAGAGCTATTAATGCAGAGTAAACGGCTATATATATTCTAAACTGACAGGATATTTCTCCTGAGCCGATCAGGCGTAGAAAGGGGCGTTTGCTACCCATTAGATAGAAGAAAATAGCTAGAATGTTTTTTATTTGATGCTTATGGTATGAGGTTCCATATCCATCCGCCAAAAGGTATGACCCCTATATAGTCCATTTAAAAACCTGTGGTATCGTTCTAATTAACCCATAGTTGGCTTCTAGGGTACCTAGTATGCCACTATTTGGTATCAAAATAAAGAGGAGTTCAACTTTCATTTGAATTACGAAAATAGCGATAGGCCAAAATAGTTCCGAACGTGAGCATGTTTACTACGCGTTTGCCAGTCATATCAGAATTGAGGTAGTGGTAGCAAACGCGAGTTACAATAAACGGACGCTGATATCTCAAAAAGTAACCTGACTCCCTATAATTTGATGTCGGTCAATCGAACCCCTATATGGACAGGTGCATTTTGATATATAACACTATGGGGGGTAAGCGTTTCATAGTTGGTCACGAACGCCATATGTGCAAAGACGGTATTGTTATGAATTTTCGAATTTGGTGTTGGATTACGGTACTCATACCTTATAGCACAATTTTTTGATGGAATTTGCATTTGGCTCCCTTAGTTAATGGCCACGATTCCATCTCGCATGAGAGAGCTACCAAACGCAAAGTAAACAGTGATATATTCCAAATGAGATATTTCTCCTGTGCCATGGCGTAGTAAGGGTAGAGAGCGACGGGGGCGAAAGCACTGAAGCATCCCCTCCCATAACTGTATATATCGACCCATTAGATAGAACAAGAAAAGAGCTTTAAAATGTTTTTTAATTGAAGCTTGTACGACAATTTTGATGGAAGTTGAATCAATTTTTGTCGAAATAAATTATGGCTCACTACAAGTTAATGCCTGTACGATTCCATACTGCAAAAGAAGCACTATAACCCCCTCAAAAGAAAAAAGTAGGTCCTGCCGGGATTCGAACTCTGGATCGAGTGTGTTCGAGTCGTGCTCGCTAACCACTAGGCTACCAGTGATGAGGTTATTTCTAAGAGTAGAAGTAGTGCATTTATTTATGAAATTGTCGGCTCTCTAGCAAAAACATGTAGCAGCCACTTGCGTACCGACAATTGTCGGTTCTCTATATGGCACTACTAGGTGACGATAGAGTGCCGACAATTGTCGGTACCCAAGCAAATACCCCTGGACAGTCTCCTGGAGCCACTCCGTATGAAATATACCTTTATGTATAGATTTGAAGAACATCAGCTCACATCCCCGTCTGAATCTATTGTTAAATTTGATTTCTTTAAAGCGAGAATAATTTCAAATTTTGTTCACGTCCAGAACCGGAAGCGATTTTTAGCTACAGCGAGAAAATTTCACCATGTGTCAAACTCCGAAATGAAATTTTCAAATATCTAAATCAAGACAAGCAACGTTCATCCTGAATATTATTAATATTCTTAAAAATATTTATAAAATTTATTAAAAATGAGATCAAGGTGCGTGTAGGTGCGTGTAGCACCTTTTCTAGAGTACATACGAAATCAATGAAGTTACGTCTAGCTGTAAGCTAGAGACTCGAGTAACCTGCGCTAAGCCCTTCTCATCCTACAGTCTAGTGGTGGGACTCGTGTGGATTATCCTACTCGAGTAGAGGCTCTTGAACACTCGATTTATTCGCGATTTAAATGAATGATTTTTGAAAAAAGTTCAGAAAAACTTTCTTTGGAAAGTTACAAACGTTCACATCCTGTAGCAATGTTTTGAAGTGTTCTCGGTTCAACCTACCTTGAATAACTCCAACATTCTCATCAAATTATTCAAATAGAATAACTCAATACACTTTATATGTTCTTGTTTTGCATTGAAAAGTAAAAAATTAGCAATTTACGCTAATTAGTTTGACCTACTTAAACATGTCGTCCAAGTGCGCAAGCGCTCCGGGGTCTAGTGATGGGGATGTTCCATTACAATTCAATGGGTAAATTTAGTGCATCACAAACTTTATTTTATCCAATTAACGATGTTTTAACAAATTTTTACGAAGGCCCCCCACGAAGTGGGCGGAGCCATTCGTTCTATGGACCGACTGTCGACCATTCACGTGACCAAAAGTCCGCCATTATTACCTTATATGGCAAATCATCAAAGCAACGATCACAACGTCATATGTTGTGTTTGTGATGAAGATATGACGTAATATAATATAAACTATGACGTCAGTTACTTATTGCCCTATCAACTAAACAGACAAGAAAGCTAAACGGCACACATCACAGTGTTTATTATATTTTAATTTGTGACGTCATTAATATGTTACCTAACCAACAGAAAACAAGCAGTTACATGTAGTTTGTTCATTGTCTTTCTCTGTGGTATTTTCATAAAAAGTGGATCAGTTTTGTCAAAATAGCATTATGGCCTTCGTATTTTTCTAGTGTCATTTTCACTTGATTTTCTTGTTGTGAAGTCATTCAATCATTTGTCCTTCATAACTAGAAATATAACAGTTCCAGTGCTCTCCCCAGGATTTTTTTGTAGGGAGGATTTTGTAAAAAAAAATTGCAACATTTTGGGATTTTGTTATTCTGAAAATGCAACATTTTAATATTTTTTACTCATAAAGTGCAACATTTGCGGATCTGGGGGGGGGAGCGCCCCCCCCCCCCCCCTTGGGTGGGCCCAGAAAAAAAATTGGGCCCAAAAAGGCCTTGTTGGTTCCCAGATCCGCCCCTGTTTACGTACTGATTATGCCTGTTTATCAAATATTTATGAAAAAAGTAATCTAGGTTTACATTTTTGGTAGATCTAATAAACTTTTAAAATTTTAATTTGCCGCTTTGTCCATTCAGCAAAAAAAGCATATTTTTTGTTGAAATTCCACAGGGCCATTTTTAGTTAATCGGGCGACCAGATTCACTTAAAAAGTACTTACACTCGATTGTGTTGTACCAGACAACTTGCCAGCGGTGTGCTTCTGACATTCTTCTGATAAAATCAAGTAAATATATCGAGATGAGGGGAAAGTTCGGTTGTTTGAAATAGCGAACAATTCATTTTCATCCATGTTAATCTGTCATTGAACCAAATAAATGTGCGTTCGATAAAGTTCTGCATATACAAACGACATGAATTTACGATCGATCAACTAAAATAGCGAACATTCGCTTTTCTTCCATGTAAATCTGTAATTGAAACAAAGGAATATGCATTCGATAAAACACTGCATAAGTGAAAATTTAAAAACAAACAAAACTTCAATTTTTCGGTAAGATTTTGTTATTTTAAATCTTTGAGGCGGAGAAACAACGTGTAAGGTTTGTCAGTGGCGCAAGGAATAACCATGAGGCGCATTTCTTTGATTGCAATTGTTTGGAGGCGCGGCGCCTCAGTAAGTTCAACGTAGGGAGAGCACAGAGTTCATAAATTCTTGTGGAGAAAAAGAATCTTGTCCACCATTCCCGAATCCAACTTGGCCCTCTTCTTAGTTACAAGATTTGATGCTGTTGAAAACATACGCTCGCTGGCAGTGCTTGTCACCTGAACACACAGAAGTTGTCTTGCCAGTCTAAAAACATTGTGTTGACAGTTACAATCAAGCCCTGGTCTGCTATTATATTTACTGAAACTACCTTGGCCACATTCTGTGAAAGTGATGCAGTTCAGTAAGCCCGCACTAAGTTACTGGCCCCTGATTTATTGTATCCAAAGACATCTTAATATACATTAATACTCACATTCTCTTTTTTCCAGTTGGTCCCACTTTTCGTGGCCATTGCTGGTGGAATGGGCCTTTCTTTCACGTATTTGGGACGTCTTGCATTTAAGTGTCCTGATGTCTGGTAAGTCCATTTTATTTTGAATGATTCATAACTGATACCACTCACTGTTATAGCCTAGTATGAGTTTTATTTGCATGTGTTTTAAATGAGACAGTGGGTGAAGTTACATTTGTGTGTATTTTAAAGTCTACCAGAAATCACTTGATTTGTCTTTTCCTTTATGAATTTTGCTGTTTATAATTATATTGTGTTTGCATATAATTTAAACCCTTTATTGTTGAATATGGAATTGTTAGGATCAACTTTTATTTGAACCCCT